AGGCCCTGCTGAGGTCTGGGCTGTGCCATTACTTCACGGGTCTTTTGTATTTTCCCTGTTGGCCCATCAGAGACAGCAGACAGATCTTCCAGCCACTGGCTCAGGAGCGAGGACAGGGAAGTACTTGAGCCTTATTCTGCTGCCTCCCAGGGCGCAGGAAGCTTGGAATTGGGGGGTGGAGCTGGTGCTCAGATACGGGAAAACTTGGTCAGACACACACAGCGGGCGCTCCCACCCGTGGTCCACTGCCCACATGTCCAGGAGCTGGGGGCTGGATCTGCTCTCCCACGTGGCAGGCAGAGTCCTTGTGGAGATGCCGCCTGCAGCCCTGCAGCCCTGGGGCACCAGGCTGTGCCTCTTGGGGGCGGAGCAGAGCAACCACCTGCGGCCACCGTCACTTGCACCCATTCCCCAGCCCTGCTTCTGCCTTCTGCCGGCCCACAGCGTGGCCACGCCCACCACACGGGGCAGTCTGGGCTTAGACCTGAGTGCAGGGCCGTCCTCTCCTGATGCCTCATTTTCTTCTTTCCTACTACAGCTCTCCCAAAAGATAGGGCATAAAAAGCAGCGGCTGGCGGAGGCAGACTTGCAGCGCAGCCCGCTGGACGCAGCTCCCATACCTGGCCCCGAGGAACCCCGCCTGGGACGGCCAGCGAGCCTGGGTCCCCAGCGCAGCGTCTACTTCTCGAGGCTCAAAGACCGTCCTGCTCGGCTGGGCTCAGAGTTTTTCAACCAGCCAGCCGTGCCCCTGGCACAGGCATTCCTGGGACAGGTAATGTGAAGACGGCGACTTGGTCTCTGCTGAAGTGGCCCCCACCCCTGCCTCGGCCCTCAGCAGGCTCTCGTCTTTGTGCAGGGATGGTTTCACGGCCTTGCTGGCTTCCCTCGGTGGAGGCACGGGTGTCGCTGTCTGCTTCCTGCCCTGGCTGTGAGGTCAGGAGCACTGGCACCTTTAGCCCCGCTTCCTGGGCCACCTGGGCTGTCCCCCAGGGCGGCCGCCTTTGCCCACGCAGCCTGATGGTCACTGCCCTGCTGGGGCTTGTCTGTGTGTCAGTGGCCTCAGCACTTCCCAGGCACCTCAGAAGGCAGCTGGACTGGGAGTGGAACAGCCTACCTGCCCGCTGCACCACAGGGCCGACCCCAGCGGTGACAGGTTTTAGCCATACTGGAGCCGTGGCTGGGGCCAGCAGAGTCGCGCTGGGATGGCCTGCTTCCCACCGAGCAGCTCACGGCGCCAGTGCTGACCTTCCAGGGTCCCCTGCTGCTCAGTGTAGGTCCAGGGTCTGGGCTCTGCCCATCAGACTTGAGTGGACCTGTCCTGGGGGGCCTGCTGTGCAGGCAGCTCACGTGCCACCATGGGCGAGTGCCCACGCAGCCCCGGGGTTTGGCCGATCCACCTCTGGCGCACCCGCTCGGGGTGGTTCTGGCTTTCCCGTTCTGGAGGTGCTGTGGCCTGCCCCTTTCCTTTGACAAGGTGTACGTCTAGGTTACGAGGACCAGGGATTCATGGGAAAACCAGCGCCAGGAGTTGGGTGCCCAAAGGAACAGACCCTGAGCTGCTTAATCCAGCAGAGAGTTTCCAGGAGGTTGACTCAGCTGCATGGGCCCAAGGGTCCTTTTATTTTTGTTTGAAAGACTTAGAGGTTTCTTCCCGAAATGGCCTCAAGGGCCAGGCTGAAGCCAAAAGCCAAGAGCTCCATCCTGGTCTCCCACGTGGGTGCAGGGGTCCGAGCCATTGGGCCATCTGCTGCTGCTTTCCCAGGCCACTGGCAGGAGCTGGATCGGAAGCAGAGCAGCTGGGACTGGACCCAGCACTCTGACACGGGATGTCGGTGTCACGGGCAGCAGCTTAACTCTGCCACAACGCCATCCTGGCCCCCGAGGGCCCTTCCGAAAGCACCTTCACAATAAGCCTTCCGTGACAAAACAGCACGTGTGTGTCGGAGCTGGTGGGTCCCAAGGTCCAGTCAGGGCCCAAGTTGGGGTGTCAGGCCACCCTCGATGTTGCAGGGTTCCCTTTGGGCCCCCACTGGGCCCACTTGAGCCCATGGGAGAAGCTGCTGTCCAGCTGTTTCCTGAGTATCCACTCTGGTCAGGGACCATGGCCTCCCAGTGCAGGCCCTCCACCAGGCCACGTCACACACTTCAGAGTCTCTGCAGGGCTGCACTGTGGGTTATGCCACTGCCTGCAGTGCCGGCATCCCACACGGGTGCGGTTCATGTTCCCGCCAGCGCTCTGCTGTGGCCTGGGAAAGCAGAAGATGGCCAAGTGCTTGGGCCCCGCACCGCTGTGAGAGACCCAGAAGAAGCTCCTGGCTTCAAATCGGCCCAGCTTCAGCTGTGGTGGCCATTTGGGGAGTGCACCAGTGGGTGAACACCTCTCTCTGCAGCTGGTGAGCAGGAGGGCTCTGCGGCCACTCCCACAGCCCAGGCTGGGGGCATGCCGCAGGCTCTGGAACCAGCTGGCCACGTCACCTTGGGGCCCTTTGTCTTCTGCCACCCAGCCTCATGCTAAGTGTTTAAGACCGACTGGTGTGAAGGGCAGTTATGGAAAGAGAGGTCTCGCAGCTCTCTGGGGACCTGGGACGGAGCCAGGGGGATGGGCAGCCCGCGGTTCACTTCCCAAAAGGCCAGGCTGAACCCAGGACTCCCCCAGGGTCTCCCACATGGGGGGCACAGGCCCAGGGCTTGAGCTACCCTCTGCTGCTTTCCCAGGTGCATTAGCAGGGAGCCAGGACTTGAAGCAGTGTTCATACGAAATGCCGGTGTCACAAAAGGCGTTTAACCTACTGAGCCGTAACGCTGCCCACCTACCTCATGCGAGGGACGAGGTAGGGAATGGAGGGTCCCACTCAGAGAACGTGAGCGTGAACCCACGAGGGAGTCCTCAAGCTCTGGCCAGTGGTCAGCTGGTCCAGGGGGCTGGGGGAGACAGCTGGCAGCCTCAGGGATCAGGCACTGGGCAGGGACAAGAGGCAAGATGGAGGAGACAGGTGAGGGCTGGCGCGTCCCAAGCTGGCCAGCTGAGGCTGGAACTGGCAGGCTCTCCCCTTCCTGCCCTAAGCAGGGCCTGACCACTCAACAGGTCCTGGTCCGGCGACTCGCCGATGGCACAGAGCTCCGCGGCCGCATCGTGGAGACCGAGGCCTATGTGGGGCCAGAGGACGAAGCCGCCCACTCCAGGGGTGGCCGGCAGACTGCTCGCAACCGCGCCATGTTCATGAAGCCAGGGACCCTGTACGTCTACCTCATCTACGGCATGTACTTCTGCATGAACGTCTCCAGCCAGGGTGAGTGGTCCTGGGGTGGGAGCCCCCGCGGTGGGGCCACTGCTGGCCAGCTTAGGGTCTCAGAGCTCTGGCTGTATCAACAGCAAGGCTGGTTAAAGGAACAGGGCCCCCTACAGAGACCATGCAAAGCAGGCAGTTTCTGTCGGGTCACCACTGGTGCCAGAGCTTAGAGCTGGTGGCTGAGGCTAGGTGGGTGGGACCCACCTGGAGTGAGCGATCGGGGGGAGGGGGGGGTCTGCGTCAGCTGCTCCTAGTGACTTGGGCGAAGTCACCACAGCTGGGGGTGCTGCTGGCGTCCAGCGGGCAGGGGCTCTGATGCTGCTCGCAGGGCACAGGACAGCCCCGACCTGTGAAACCAGCTGGGCCCGAGCATCAGCAGTGGAGACACTCACCTCTGGCTGCTGGTGGGCCTGTGGCTCTGGGTGACCCGTGCTCGAGCGGAGGAGGTGGCCAGGCAGGACCAAAGCCCACAGCCATAGAGCTGTGGTGTCAGTGCCAGAGCCACAGGCATCCAGGGCAGGCCCTGGCACAAAGCAGGTGTTGAGACCCTGGGTAACTGGACATCAAAGACAGTGGGGTGCCCCTCCTGAAGGGTCCTGTCACTCTGCCAGTTTGGGGCTGGTGGTGGAACCAGGCCTTCCTATGAGGCTAAACTCAGGGGAGAGACCCAGCCCAGAAACGCTGGGCGCTGTGGTGAGCAGGGAAGGGAGCCCAGGCTTCTGGGGTGTGGTGGTCAGGGCAGAGACCGGGATGATGTGACCCCCGCAGGGGTGCAGTCAGGCCAGGGTCGCCTAGGTGGAGCAGAGGAAGCTGCAGAGTGAGTGTGGGCGTCTGCATGCCCCCGAGCGAGCCCTCGGGCCTACCAGTGGTTTGTGGTCTGTGGCCTCTGGGCTCGAGGGGGCCCTCCAGCTCTGCTGGCTGCTCCAAGCCAACCTCGCAGCTTGGCCAGCTGGGACGCTGAGCAGCCTGGGCCAATGTGGAGCCTGGGGCTTGGCGACCCTGCCCTAGGAGGATTGGCCTCGCAGCTTCTGCCGGTCGTGGGACCAGAGGGAGTCGGGGGAAGGCACGACGTGTCCTTACGGGGTCCCCGAGCGAGTCCTGGTTCCCAGCAGCTAGACGCACACACAGAAGGCACAGCTGCCTTGCGGGGGAGGCTGGCAGGAGGGGCAGACAGGGAGATGCAGACCCCACCCCACCACCAGGTCAGACAGAAGGCAGCGAGCGCAGGTTTGCACACAACGGGCCTCCCTCAAGAAGGCAGCCAGTCCATCCCTGTGAGGCTGGGCGCAGGCAGTGGCCCAGGGAGGCTCCACTTCATGCTGTCCGTCTGTCTCACAGGGGACGGAGCGTGCGTCCTGCTGCGAGCACTGGAGCCCCTGGGGGGCCTTGAGACCATGCGGCAGCTTCGTAGCACTGTCCGGAAAGGTACCGCCAGCCGCACCCTCAAGGACCGTGAGCTCTGCAGTGGCCCCTCCAAGCTGTGCCAGGCCCTGGCCATTGACAAGAGCTTTGACCAGCGGGACCTGGCCCAGGATGAGGCCCTGTGGCTGGAGCATGGCCCTCCTGGGCCCAGTGCGTCAGCCGTGGTGGCAGCAGCCCGGGTGGGCATTGGCCATACAGGAGAGTGGGCCCAGAAACCCCTGCGCTTCTATGTCCGGGGCAGTCCCTGGGTCAGTGTGGTGGACAGAGTGGCTGAGCAGAACATGCAGGTTTGAGCAAAGGCCCTGCTCAGACAAGCGAGGCGTTTTAATGTCACTTTGAAAACAAATAAAGGATACATTTCTAGAAAACTATTTCTCCCCTCTGGGCGGTCAGCACATGGTCTGGGCCTGCTCTAGGAGGAGCAGTGTGGACACGGACAGACACTGGAGAGCCAGGGACTGCAAGGTGGGTTCTGCCTCCCCAGCCACAGGATGAGCACAGGTAACAGGGACCTCAGATGTCAGGACTGGGTGACAGCTTGGCCAAGCCTGCTGGTGGCTCGTGGGGCTATGTGGAGGGCCAGGCCAGGGGAGGCCCACAGAGAACTGGCAGGAACGGCGCGCGTGGTGGACAGTGGTGCTGGCTGCAGGGCCTCACACGCCGACAGCCAGGACAGGCGTGGCTGCCCACTCCTCTGGCTGCCACAGGCAAGGCCCGGAGCAGATCTGCGAGGCCCCCTCCAGCTGCTCTGGAGACTGGAGGAAGGGGTGAGCACAGTGGGCAGCTGCCACTCAAGCTTAGAGCACCTCGGTGTCGGGGGAGGGGGAGGCTGGGCCCCACCCACACCCGAGCAGCCTCGCTACCCTCACCTGGCTCACGTGAGCAGTGCCTGGAAGACGGCTATGACGGGGTCCTCGTGGGTGGTCACCACCAGCACGCTGCGGAACTTGTCAACGAGCATGAGCAGCTGGGAGCGCCGCGTGTTCTCGTGGTACATGATCTCCTCCAGGTGGTGGCGGCCACGGAAATAGTGAAGGAGCCTGCAGGGAGGGGTGCGTGAGCCGATACGGGCAGGCACCCCCCAGAGGCCCAAGAAGCCGGCGTGTGGGCCTGATCTGCCCATGGGTGTGCGGCTCTTCTGGCTGCACCCTCACAGGGTGGGCAGACAAGCTGGCTGGTGGTGTGGGGAGGGGTCTGCGCTGGCAGAGACCCGTGTGGCTCTAGATGCACACGTGGTCACTGCTCTAGGTGGGGGCTCCAGTTGAGCTGCACAAAGGAGGGCGAGACACAGATGCAGCCCGGAACATTCTGCAGCTTAAGGCCTCATCCCCCCCACCTGACTAGAGAACCGTGCACCTGTGCAGCCGCCCCCGTCAGTGGGGGTGACAGACTGACGGCCATCAAGGGTCCTGGGCAGATGAACCCCTGCAGAGCCCATGAGGGAGGGACCTTGCTGAGAACTGAGTGCTGCCTCTCGGCACTGGGGAGACCCCCACGGGCAGGCGCACAGGCCTCAGGTGAAGACAGCCCGTCAGCCAGTGGGCACTGCTTCCTGTCGGAGGTTGAGCACGTCCCTGTCTGCTTCCTGTCCATGCTCCAGAACTGTCCCTGGCCCCACCTGGCAAACATGCGGAGGTCCTCAGGGTTCTGGGCCGCGGGCACGCTGAGGATGGCCGCCCGCTCGTGCTCCGACAGGCTGGCCAGCAGGTTCTCGGTCACCCTCTTGTTCAGCGGCGAGTCCCCACTGGGGAGCAGCTCTGCGCTGGAGTTGTCCATGCTGGGGCTGGTAAGGGTCATGTCATCGCTGCTGGCTGTGGGTGGGCACAAGTCAGCTGACAGCAGCATGGGTGGGCACAGCGAGGGCACATCCAGCAGCCAGTGTCCACCCTGTCGCCTGGGTGTGACACACGCCCTCGCCTGGGGGGGCCTGGAGCACAGGCAGTCTGTTGAGGGGGCAGCCGTGGGGGCCCTGAACGGCGCACCCCGCCTGGAGGACAGAGCACCCAGGACAGGTGGGTCCTCACCCCAAGCCCGGGCCCACTGAGGAGGACTTGCAGAGCCTTCCGGCCTCGCCGTTCCCCAGGCCGCACACCGTGGCCACGACAGCTCTCCCAGGCAGTGACTGACAGTCCCTGTCCCATCATGGGTCCTCCAGGGACTATGGAATTGCTCAGATCCAGGCTGAGGCAAAGAATTCCGGCAGTGGTTGTGGTGGGGTGGGTTCCACTCCTGACTCCAGCAGAGCCGAGGCAGAGCCTCTTCCCCAGGGCAGATGGGACGTGTGAGGGGCACGCACGTGCGCCTGCCATGACAGGCCTCCATTACCAGAGAGATACCTGGGGGGCGTCTTACTTGGGGAGCCGAAGCTGAGGGCATTGGGTGTGCTGAGGCTGCGGCCGCCGACCCGAGCAGTGAAGGGGACCTCGTCCTCTCGCAGGCGGGGCTCCTCCTCGCTGGGCGAGGCCATCAGGCAGACATAGGTGTGCAGCTGGATGAGCAGCCGATGCTGCAGCATCCACACCACCATCTGGATGAGCTGGGTCTGTGGGGTGGGCAGTGCCAGAGCCCAGGGAGCAAAGGGCGACGAGGTCCACGCCAGGCCCCATCCCCTCCTGGGGATCAGGGAGCCATGGCCCAGCCCCAGCCTCCTGGCGCAGGGAGCCCCAGCTACTGGCCATCTCTGCAAAGGCAGCTAGCCCTCCAGGGAAGGGCCAGGGCCAGGGCTCCAGGACCACACTCACAGGTGGACGCCCTCGCTATGCTGCGGAGCGGCCCCGGCTCTGCCCGTGGGTCCCGCACTAGACACTGTTCAGAAAGGGGCTGTGGGGCCTGCCACTGTGGCACCGCGGGCTAAAGCCCCAGCCTGCACACCGGCATCCCATATGGGTGCTGGTTCAAGACCTAGCTGCTCGACTTCAGCCCCAGCTCTCTGCTGGTGCACCTGGGAGGGCAGCAAAGGATGGCGCGAGCCCTTGGGCCCCTGCACCCACGTGGAAGACCTGGAGGAGGCTCCTGGCTCGTCGGATCAGCTCAGCTCTGGCCGAAGCAGCCATTTAGGGAGTGAACCAGCAGACTTCTCTCTCTGTCTCTACCTCTCTTTGTAACTCTTTCAAATAAATAAAATAAATCTTTGAAAAAAAGAAAACCTATTTAAATAAAAAGAAAGAAAAGAAAGGGGCTGTGGACAGTCATGCCCTGAGAGCAGGAGTCCTCTTCTAGGGCCTACCTGAACGTCTGCCCTGGGCACACAGATGCTTCCAGAAGGAAGCTGGGGATAGAGATTCCCTGCTTAGGCATGGCCTGGCCAGGCCCGCAGGGGAGTGAGGAGCCCTGTGCAGGCACAGCCCCGGTGCCAGTGCCAAAGCACCCTCCAGACAGCCGTCTGCTCGTCTTTGGGAGAGTCCACCAGGAACTGCTGACCAGGGCCATTCCATGCCAAGTTTAGAAACTTTGCAGTCTGAGTAAGCCCTAGAGAGCAGATCCCTGGGACTTGGCAGGACCAGGCCCCTTGACCAGGCCCAGAGCAGTCCCTCAGGCACAGCCTGGAAAATGCACCGTGTCATCCGGACTACAAGAAGGGGAGCTCTGCCTTGGGCGGGGGCGGGGGGCAGAGGCAGTCGCTTATTCAGTGGCCTGACTGGCACAGTTCCTGGAGGCCACAGGCGCTGCGAAAGACAGCATTGCACTCTCACGCTTGCCATCTCATGAGCTGAAAAACCAGGGTCTTCCAATCCAGCTCTCTGCTATGGCCTGGGAAAATAGCAGAACGCGGCCCAAGTCCTTGGGCTCCTGCACTCAAATGGGAGATCCAGAAGAAGCTCCCGGCTCCTGGCTTTGGATGGCACAGCTCTAGCCATTGTGGTCACTTGGGGAGTGAACCAGTAGATGGATGGAAGACCTTTCTCTCTCTCTCTGACTCTCTGTAACTCTGGCTTTCAAATAAATAAATCTTAAACAGTAATAATAATAATAATAATAATAAAAACAGTACTGTACTTCAAAAGACAAAGCCTGGAGAACCCCCAGCCCGCATCTGGTACCTGTCCTATCTGCCCCGTCCTGGGTCCCTGCCCAGGGTCCAGGTGCTCAGTACAGGGAAGAGGGCACGAAGCTGTGAACAGTGACCCCAACCCAGAGAGCCACCGACCCGACCCTGCCCCAGACCTGCCAGTTCATCGCTGCCACCAAGCCCTGGCCTTGATGCAGGCCCTCTGTGGGCACCAACCCAGGCTGCTGTCTCCTTGGACAAGGAGGCTGTGGGACCCCTCAGGCCCTGTGGCCGCCTTAAACACAGCTGGGGCTATGGAGAAGCCCGACCCTGTCACAGAGCTGGGCCCAGGCTGTCTTTGCATCCTCCATCTGCAAGAAAGCCCCAGGCCCCAAGGGGTCCTGGGAGATCTCCCTGCCAAGCCACCTCACCACAGCAGCCAAGGGGCGCGTGCCCTGTGGCAGGGAAATGGCAAAGTGCCGGCAGGTGGCTTTAGGGTCACCCTGGCATAGCAGATGTTCCACAACCAAAGCCAAGGGGGCGGCCAGGCTGAGGCGTCAGGTCGGGGTCAACAGCCAGACCGGAAGGGCCTGAGCTACTGCACTGCTGCCACACCAGGTTCCCGGGGCTCCTGGACTCACCTCCTGTACAGGGGGGGCCAAGGGGTTCCTAAATTCTGACAGAGAGACGGGCAAGGAGAACTTGGACAGGACGGACGGCAGGTCGTGCGCCGGGAACTGGCGGGAGAACTGTTCTGCCAGCGGGGAGTACCTGCACACAGGGAGGGCGGCTGTGAGCACGGCAGATGCTCCTGTTCAGGGGCCGTGGGCCCGATCGGTGGGATGAGGCACCGTGGGGAGGTGACAGTGGAACTGTGCAGGCCTCAAGGTAGACAGAGGCCAGGCAATTTCCCTCTGGGGCATCAGGAGCCATGGCACAAGCTACACCCCTCTCGCCCTTGGTGCCCTGGTTGTGGGCGCTGCAGGAAGTACGGGAGGCGAGACCCATGGATGCCCCAGCTTCACAGCACAGCCAGGAGGACACCCCAACACCAGCAGGGCCACGCAGACCAGAGCCAGACCGGAGTGGAGGCACTCAGCCAGCTCCACCTGGAGGGCCCCGCCAGCCCTACCCTTTCCCACCAGGGGGCGCAGGCGGCGGCAGCCAGAGGCACTCACAGACACACGCTGGCATTGGGAGACAGCATGTAGACGTTGTTCTCGCATAGTGGGTAGATGATGATGGCCTTGCCCCAGTACACCAGGTGAGCTGCAAGCTGGAAAACCTGTAGGCCGAGAAGCTGGCCTGAGGCTGGCAGCACAGCGTGGCCACAGTGCCCAGCGCTCGTCCCGCACACAGCATGCCCTGTGCTGTGTGACACCTCTGTGTCCATTAGGCCCTGCACTGTCTTAGCTCCTCCTGGGGAATGTGGACTCAGGCCCAGGCTACAAGCCCCTGAGCACAATGACATCGGGGGTGCCAGGGACACAGGGTGGGAGCTGGGCTGGGCACTCGCACACCTACCAGATCCCAGCATGGCAACGCGTGCGGGATGAGCCCCGAAGCCACCCACACACTCAAAGGCCCTGACTCACCCCTGCAGGCCCCACCTCCCTGCAGAGAACAGCCCACTGCCTTGTTCCCCAGGTTCTCAGACACCAGGAGATGCCAGAAATCGCCTCCAGGGGCACCTTGGGGGACAGCAGGTCCAAGAGCACTGCCCACGGCACTGAAGGAGACGCACGCGAGATTCCAAGCACTGGGTGTTTCAGGAGCCCACTCCCTCCCTGGACACAGCACCCACATGCCGCTCATCTTGGCAGACAGGACCCCCAGTGACACTGCCAGCTGCAGCACGGAGGAGAATCCTGTTCCTTCGCCAGCCCTGTCCCCTCATGACAAGTGCCTCCGACACTCCCTCCGAAGCAGACCTGCAGCTGCCCGTCTGTCTGTGTCTGTGTCTGCCAGTCTCTGCTGCAGCCCGGCCTGTGGGCTCCACGCCTCCCTAGGCTCTGCCCCTCCGGGACACCCTCCAGGAAGTGGTCAGAGTGCCATTCTGGACCAGAGACCTGAAGTCAGTGCTGCAGGGCAGGAATCAGGCTGGCAGGGCCACCATGTTCCCTCTGGAGGCTCCAGGAGAAAACCCGAACCTGCCTCTCCTCGCGGCTAACGGACCTGGCTGGTGGCCGCACGGCCCCAGTGTGCCGCAGCAGTCACAGGGCCCTCTCTGCTGTAGTCAGATCCGGCTCCCTCCTGCAGTCCCTTGGGACTACACTGAGGGCCCAGCAGGATCCCCCTCCCATCCCCACACACTCAAAGCCCCAAACGAGGAACACAGCTCCTGCAGGTGGGGACACAGATGTCTGCGGGGCCATTATTCAGCCCATCACAAGGATCCCAGCGTGGTCCTCATCCCAGTAAAGGAGCCACAGTAGCTTCTTCTGGGAGGTGCAATTATGGGGACTTTCTCTTTTTGCATCCATCACTGGTGCAGTACTTGAATGTCTGCAAGAAACAATATGTGAATCTTATCATGGAAAAAAAACCCAAAATTGGTCCTCTTTGGACTGAGAGGGAACAACCACTTGGTGACATCTGACACCGCCCTGGGGCCACTGCTCCCCACGACAGGCGGGTGCAGCTGGGTCCGGGGGCTTCAGCCACACCAGCAGCAACCCCTGGAGGACCTGCCCCAGCTCCAGCAGGGAGGCCGCACAGGAGCAAGGAGCAGCCTCCTCAGCCGAGGCCGGGAAGTGAAGGGGACATCAAAGGGACATCAGCGTGCTCTGTCCAAGGAGATGGCCAGGCTGAGGCAGTGCAGTCAGCCTCCCAACAGACAGCAGCTCCTTCCAGAGCTGAGAAGGGTGACACGTGCAGCAGTCACAGGAGTCGGGCCCATGGCCAGCGCCGAGCCCAGCACAGGGTCCCCGCGCGGTGCTGCGGCTGCTGTGGGCGACAGCAGTCCTCGTGGGCCCAGGAGGCAGAGGCCCGCAAGTGCTGTTACTGAGGCTGGACACAGGGCTGGCACAGGAGACAGAGGAGGGGCGTTCGCTCTGAAAGCTCAAAAAGGCCGCTTGGGGAAAAACCAGCCTGAGAGGCCCTGTGGTGAGAGCCCCTCTAACGTGCTAGCAAACACAGGCCAGCACCCCCCAGACACCCAGCCAAACAGAGCCAGGAAGCTGGGCCAGAGACACCAGGCGGGCCCGCCGCACACAGAGGAAGGCGTCACCGCTTCGGCCTCGGCAGGAACGAGTTCCCTGGGCTGGCCCTTTGCTGCCCCCTGGTGGCTACAGAGCGCCAACAGCCACCCGTCCCACAGTCCTGGCTTCCTGCCCTCACGCTGTCAGCTGGGGGTCCACAGCCGGGGTTGCTCTTGCATAAGTAGCATCATGGGGACCCTGAAGTCTGCCATCCAAGGCCACTACATCAGCAGCCGATGCTCCTGGCCACACGCCCACCACGTCTGAATGAGGCTGAGGGCCCCTCAGTGCACAGCAGCAGGAAGGAGGCAGTGTGCACACACAGTGGGGTAAGGCCTCTGCATGCTGGCCCCTGCCCCGAGCTCCTGCCTCCCTCTTGGTCCTGGAGGCCATTCCCTGGTGCCGGGAACACCTCACTGCCTTCCTCCTGCAGCCTTGCCTCCCCTTCAAACACAGGAAGTCGTTCCTGTAACCGACTCACCAAGCCAACCCCGAGCCCAAGCCAGCCCAGCACCCGGACCCATGGCAGGCTGCGCAGCTAGACCAGGGCTCTCAGCTGGGAAGGGGCCCTGAAGCCCCGGACCCTGCCACCTTCCCCTAGGGGCCCCTCCCTCCCAGGCCTCCAGGCCCCAGGGCCGCACCTGCAGCAATGCGAGGTCGGCGTCCTGGGCTAGCTGCTGCAGGTTCTTCACGGCAGACGTGGTCCTGATCACGCGCACCAGGGCCGGGGAGCAGTCCACGGGGAGCTCACCGAGCAGGGCCTTCTCGTCACTGAGCAGCAGCAGGGCGTGGTACGGGCTGTGGAGCAGAGCCACACGTCAGCCTGGCGCACAGACCTGGCGGCCCCCACTACAGTATCTGCAGCACAGAGGGTAGCTGGGGTCCCAGAGCATGCAGCTGCAGGGAGAAGAGGCCAAGGGAGCAGTCAGGAAGGAGGGTGTCCAAGGCCTTTAGAAATGAACGTGGGAGCCAGCATGTGGTGTAGCGGGTGAAGCCGCCCCTGCAAGCCATACGGGTGCCGGTTCAAGTCCCGGTTGTCCGACTTCTCACCCAGCTCCCTGGCAATGGCTGGGGAAAGCAGCAGCAAACAGCCCGAGTGCCTGGGCCCCTGCACCATGTGGGAGAGCTGGATGGAGCTCCTGGCTCCTGGCCTTGGCCTGGCCCAGCCCTGGCCATTGGGGCCATCTGAGGAGTGGACCAAAAGATGAAAGATCTCTCTCTCTCCCTCTGCCCCTGTAACTATTTCAAATAAATACATCTTAAATAAATAAATAAAATAAGCATGGATTACTGTCACTGTGGGGGTAAAAAACAAAAATAGGAAAAATCTGGAGAAGGTCCTAAGGCTGCCCAGCGAAACATCTGTTGATTGAAGAAATGAACCTTTCTTAAGGGAACGGCCCCGTGTATGGTAAAACAAAGTACCCCCCCAACTGTGAACAGAACTACATTAAAACGTGCTTAACGAAGCTGAAAGGGCAGATCTCTGACAGGAGGCGTGGCAGGGGAAGGGGGAGAACTCTGCGGCACTGTGCTGTCATTTCCAAATTTTCTAGAATGTACCCAAATTTCTTTCCATTATTTTTTAAAGATTTATTTATTTGAAAGGCACAGTTACAAAGAGCAAGAGGTAGAGAGAAAAGCAGATGGGGGAGGCTGCAATGGCCAGAGCTGAGTCAATCTGAAGTCAGAAGCCCGGAGCTTCTTCTGGGTCTCCCACATGGGTGCAGGGGCCCAAGGACTTGGGCCAGCCTCTACTGCTTTCCCAGGCCACAGCAGAGAGCTGGACTGGAAGTGGAGCAGCTGGGACCTGAACTGGCGCCCATATGGGATGTCAGCACTGCAGGCCGCGGCTTTACCTGCTATGCCACAGCATTGCCTCTCACCCCCTTTTTCTTTCTTAATAACTCAATTCCTCATTTTGGGGAGTGAATCAGTGGATGGGAATTCTGTCTCTAAAACTTTCAAATATATAAATAAATAAATTGTAAAAAAATGTATTTGAAAGGCAGAGAGAGATGGACAGAGAGAGATCTTCTTCCATTAGTTCATTCCCCAAATGCTCCCAAGAGCCAGAGCTGGACGGGGCTGAGGCTGGGAGCAGGAATCAGTCTGTACCTCCCACATGGGTGAAGGGACCAAAACCTTCAGCCATCGCCTGCTGTGGGGAGCAACCCGGACTAGACTAAGTTACTGGAATTAAGACTTATTCTATGCATCTGCTCTCCCACAATATGGCGCTGAGAAGGGAGTAACAACTTCTACGCAGCTGCCTCCAGTTCAACCAATAAACAGCAGGACCTGCTCCTGATTGGAGGAGAGCAGCGTACTCGGCATGTGGGTAGCAGAGTTGGGATTGGCGGAAGAGGACTATAAAGGAGGAGAGAGACAACATGCACCAGGAACATCTATCTAAAGGAACACCTGTGCAGCCCCCGAGAGAGCCGGCCGGCGGTGTGCCGCTCCCCCGCGGAAGTGGGGAAAGTGGCAGGGGGAACCGCCCTTCCACGGAGGTGGAAGGGTCGGTAGCCAACCCGGGAAGAACCAGCAGCAAACCCGGGGAGGGCCAAGCAGACAAAAGAACAGCGCAGGGTCCTGTGTCGTTCCTCCACGAAGAGGGGGAGCGACATAATGGTGCCGTGACTCGGATAGGAAGCCTAGGCAGGGTCCTGTGTCGCTCCTCCGCGAAGAGGGGGAGCGACAACCTGCTGCCTCCCGGGAGGTTGGAACTCGGAGTCGAGCAGGGACTCAAACCCAGGTGCTCCAATATGGCGTGCAGGCATCCCAAGCGGCCTCCAGGTTAACCTGGTTAACCTCCAGGTTAATGTTAACCGCTCTGCCAAATGCCCACCCTTCCAGATTCCTTTTTTTTTTTTTTAAGAGTATTCGAGGAAATGAGGGTCTACTGGCAGCGGGGCCGGTGCCACGGACCGGATTCAGGTCTTCCCTTGCAGGGACTGATGGCTGGACAAACTCCCTGAGACCAGTTCTCACTCATAGGCAGAGGACCAGAGGAGCAGCACCCTCAGCCCCACTCCCTGCCCAGGCTGCGCTGAACATGCTGGAGGGCCGGGGGGTACCTGGGACTGGTCACTTCTGGACAGAACTGGACACAACAGCAGGTGCTTTCACTAGGCAGCAGGGCCTTCCCGCAACCTCTGCCGCAGGAACAGGAACTTCGGGAACGTAGCGGGCAGCCGCCAGAGGGCAGGGCACTCACCGGATGGCTTTCAGGCTGCGCTCAATGGCCTCGGGGGGGATCAGGCTGGAAGCAGCGTAGTGGATCTTGTGGGGCAGGCAGAAGCTCACCTCCAGCCAGCTGTTGATGTGGAGCCGCACCACGCCAGAGGTGCACAGGCTGCAGAGAGCGGGCGCCGTCACCGCAGGAGCCACTCACCCAGCCACATCAGCCAGGTCAGCCGGCACCTGCTCACCGGCTGCTTCCCCCGCAAAAGGCCCTCCCGGTTAGAGGAGGAGACCTCACGGGCAAGAGGGCTGTTTCGGATCTCAGAGTGTTCAGGGGGCTCACCCACACACACAGCGTTCCTGGCCACGCCTGCAGTCTGTAGTCTAGCCAGACGGCCAAGGCTCGAGGTAAGCCTCCACTGTCCAGCCCTGCACACCTGATGGAGGCCCAGTCACAGGCAGGAGCCTAGGCTGGAGAGGCGGGAAGGAGACGAGAGGGGGTGCCACATCTCCCAGAACACTTCAGGGGTGAGCCGCTCCCTGCGCCTCAAAGGCAACATGTGGGAGTCACCCCAGGCAGCCATCAGTCCCAGCCCCGACCAGAGTCTCTGGGTGATCCAGGCCGACTCTGCTTAGGCAGATAACGGGGCCCTAACTCCTTGTTTTTCTCACACTATACCTGAAGCTGTCAGTAAATGCGTCTGCTCCACCCGCGGCGATGTCCAGAGCACCAGCCTGGTCAACACACTTCTGTCCACCCTCCCCACAGTCCCAAGTCTCACCCCTGGGCAATCCAGGCTAAGGCCAGCAACACAGAGGCCCCTCGTTTCCACGCCACTCAGGCCCAGCATTCTCGGTGCAGGCACCCGCCCTCACCACAGCTCTCTCCCCAGACACCCTGGGCCTCCTCCACCTCCTCAGTCAGCTCAAGCACACATCACATTCCAGGTGAGGCACCCCTGACCCGGGTCCCGAGGGCACTCTGAGCCCTTGGACCACGCGATGCTCCCTGTCTGCTGACTGATGCCTTGTCCCAGCCAGAACATGATTCCAAGGACAAGGTATGGCCCCCTGCCATGGCACACACGGCCCAGCGTCAGGCACATGGTGGGCACAGAGAACCCTGTCATGAACAGGGAGAGGGAAGGGGCCCCGGGGACACACTGCCCTCTCCAGGTGTCCAGCCTGTCCAGGGAGCCCATGGCCCAAGATCAGACCTGAAGGGAGTTCCCTGGGGACACCACACACAGAGAAGGGACAGGGCTGTTTCAATAGGAGCTCCTGAAATTCTGTGATGAGAAGCCCCCAACAGCTCAGTGACACAGTCCCTGTGCTAAGTGGCAGTGGCACAGGGTGTGTGACCCAGAGAAGCAAGGATGCTTCTCACAGTCCCAGGCTCCAGGTGGTGGCACCTGTGCCTGTCTGCCGAGGCCTGGCCTGTGTGAAGACACTTCCAGTGACCAGCAGGCGGGGAAGAGCCAAGAGGGCAGGCACCCTCCTTGCGATCTGCCTGGCAGACGCACAACAAAAGCCTCGTGGTAGCACCAGCTCCCAAAGCAGGCATGGCACACACCAAACTCCTCCAAGTTTTATGCTGTCCTCCATTACGTCTGCTACCCCCACCCAGGAGGGCAGCCAAGCAGTACAAGAAAATAAAAAGATTTATTTGAATGGCAGGGTTACAGAAAGAGAAGGAGAGACAGAGATCTTCCACCTGCTGGCTCTCTCCCCAGATACCCACAAGAGCCAGGGCTGGACCAGGCTAAAGCTAGGAGCCGGGAGCCAGCCTCTTCTGGGGTCTCCCACATGGGTGGCAGAGGCCCAAGTCCTTGGACCATCTTCCACAGCCGCCTCTGGCACATCAGCAGGGAGCTGGAATGGAAGAGGAGCAGCCGGAACACACACAAGCGCCCAGGGGATGCTGGTGCGGCAGGTAGTGGCTTAACCTACTACACCACAATGCCAGCCCTTCTCTGCCTTTCAAATCAATAAAATTAAGTTTCAGAAATTTTAAAAAAGGAAGGAAGGAAGGGAGGGAGGGAGGGAGGGAGGGAGACAAGACGAGACACTGATGGGGCTGCTTGCATGCCAAGGTCAGAGAGCCTGGGCTGCAGTCCCAGCTCTGCTCTGGGCTTCCACCCCCTGCTGATGCACACCATGGGAGCCAGAAGACGACGGCTCAAGTACTTGGGTCCCTGACACCGAGGAGGGGACCCAGATGAAGTTCCCAGCTCCTGGCTTTGGCTCAGCCCCCTTCCATCTGTTGTGGGCATTTGGGGAATGAACCAGAGGATGGGAGATCTGTCTCTGAAATAAAATAAAATAATTTCTAAGTCAACATTTCCATCACCCCCCAAATTAAAAAAAAAAAAAAAATTTACTCTAAAAACTATTGCAGGAAAACACCGTCGCTCCCTGAGGCTTATCCAGCCCCACGTGCTCTGGCCCGCCCTGCAACAGGAGATAGGCACTCCCAGGAGTGCCTTCCAGACACACTCTTATCTCTCACACCCATGAGGGGAACCGAGTCTGCTTCGCTGAGTCCTTTCTGTGCCCTTGACCCACCCTCCTCCCGCCGGGACAGACCCTCGTGAAACCGTCCTGCACGCTGCGCCCTCAGCTCCCGCACAGGGCCTGCTCCCCATCACACGTGGTGAGATCTGCGTGAACCAGGACACCCGCTGGACTCCAAAGGGCCTCCTGAGCATTCCACACACGAGTTCCTCTTACAGAAGCAGGTCTGTGACGCTCAGGACACTCCAAGGCGCCAAGCTCTGAGCCTTGCGAGTCCTGTTAAACTCTGAGAGCCACTCAACAAACGTTCTACCCTCAAGGGATCTGCGATGCAGTCACCCCGCCCTACACACTCCTTCAGCCACTAGTGGACACACTGTGTCCCGCACACGCTGAGGTCACACTCGTAAGTGGGTGGCTCTCACCGTGGCTGTGAGCTCCACAGGGAGACTTAAGTGCTAGGACAGTGGAGGTGGCTCCCTGAGGGATACACCTTTCCAGTCTATATTCAAGGACACGTAGGCCACAGGACACAGGGCCGCCAGGCTGCTCAGCCACACTGTAACCTGGGCTTCTCGTTAAAACAGCAAATCCGTGGCACAGGCATTTGGTGCAACAGTTAAGACGCCGCTTGGGACACCTGTATCCCAAATCGGAGTGCCTGAAGTCCCAGTCCTGCTTCCAGTTCCAGCTTCTGGCAAACGCACACCCTGGGAGGCAGCAGGTGAGAGCTCAAGGTTGTGTTCTGGGCTCCTCCTGGCTTTGGCCTGGCCCAGGCCTGGCTGTCGCAGGCAAGGGGGTGGGAGGTGGGGTAAACCAGCAGATGAAAGATCTTTCTCTCTGCCTTTCAAATAAATACATTTTTTAAAATTCTAAAAATAAATAAAATAGCAAATCCAGAACAGAATCCTCTGTTCAGGCTCATTAAGCCTCACACTCTGGTCTTCCAGTTCTGAGAACAGCTTTCCCAGGGACCGGCAGAGCCGCAGTCTCAAGGGGCTTGTGCTCTGTGCCCCCTGACTGCCATGTAAGCTGTCTCCCTTCCCCTGCACCAGCTGTGGTCTGTCACTCAGCGGCATAGGCAGGCAGCCTTCAGGGCCAACCGTGGACCTGCTGGGAAAAGGATGGAGAGGGGGCCACCACCAGAGGTTCGTGGGCAGCTGCAAGCAGGCGCCAGGCAGCGGTGAGAGGCAAGGGAGGAGGCCTGCCCAGGCTTCCTGCCAGAGAAGCACAGCTCCCAGCATCCCTTAGACAGGCCCCCAGCCCCAGGACTGGTCGCGGTCCTGGGCTCTGGGAAGAATGCAAAGTGCCCAAAGCCTGGGAACCTACCTTATTCAACACAAACTGGATTCCAGGTCTCCTGGAAACTAACGTCCACTAGGTGGCTCTGGGCCGCCTCAAGTTCTGAGCTGTCCAAGGTCTTACTCGCTCCCAACTTTTTAAACAACTCAAACCTAAGAAATCACAGGCCATTTTGATTGAGAGATATGAGTCACTATTTTGCCTTTAATCCCAGTTAGTGGAGGCCTGCAGGTTCCCACTGAGAACAAGACAACAATTTCCAAGGGACAGATTTCTGACAGCAGAGTGCCGTCATTCTCCTCCCACAGAAAACACCACGGTGATGACGTGAGTGGCAAAACCACAAAGGTCCCGTCTGGGCCCGGACGGAGTTCTCTAGAGCAGGTGGTGTGAGAAACCAGAGCACCGCTCTACCAGGGGAGACACCTGCAGGCAGCAAGGCAGACGCAACACTGGCCACTGCATCACGACGAAGCTCCATCCTGAACTTCCCGACAGAAAAATCAAACAAGGATCTGAGCAGACAGCACCCAGAAGACAAAATATGGGCGGCATAGCCCTTGTTCCCTAAGACTCTGTGTGGGCAGAGCAGGGGGACGGGCACCACAAGCTGCCGGTGGGAGCACAGCCAGACACAGCCCTGAGAGGGAGCTCTGCCAGTGCCCCAACAGAGACACAGGCACATACAAGACCACAGGACAAAGCACACCGCCATCAGCTAAGTGCCTCGGGGATGGGATAGTGACGCAGCCAGGAGGAGAAAGGTGAAGTCCTCACCGACCAGGTGCAACCTGGCACAGGCAGTGAGTGCCCACCGTAAAGGGGGACAGCTGGCACAGGGCTGCCTTGGTGGAACCTGCACGGGCTGCACCAAGGACAGTGGACGTGATTTTCAAACATGTGACCTTTCCAAGGGAAAGTCAGAAGAATGGAAGAGTCACCAAACGCTAACCGTGATTCTCGCTGCAGACGCTTCTGTTCTTCACACTCTCCCAAGTCTCTCACGTCCCTAACCAACAAGCACCGGTGGTGAAATCACTCAAAATGGTCACTGCTCACTCCCTGCGTACGTGGACCCTGGAGCTCCCCAGCCTCAGCTCTCGGCTCAGACCCACCTCGAGCGGGGAGTGGAGAGCCCCCAGGTTTAGGAGTGAAGCCCCCAGGAAGGCCTGGGAAGAGGCACTGAGCTGAATGCATGGCACAGGGAAGGCAGGACCGTGCAGGAAGCAGAGAGGGCAGAAGACGGAGGCCCCAGGTCACAGGGGCGCGGCATCGTGGCACACCTGTGCCAAGTTAAAGGCCTGCCCCAGATGTGCAGCTGCCAGCAATGTGCCCATTCTCAGAGGTAAGTGACGGGCAGGCAAAGCTGCCAGGGAGGGGTGCAGTCAGCTGAGTGCATCCCGGCTGCAGCTTCACGGCCAGGGAAGATCCACAGCTGGCACTGGGCACCAGGACTCCTTTAAGAAGCAACAGACCTCCTTGCTTGCCCACACTTACCAGAGCCACCAACACAACCCATCAACTGGGTGCTTTCCGTAGCATCCCAGCGCCTGCTGCCTGCCCTCACACACGGTGTCTGGGACCTCAGCTCCCCAAGCACGAGGAACAGCCGGCCGCAGCCAGTCGCAGCCGGTCGCAGCCGGTCGCAGTTCCCTCAGTGGTGACGTGAGGAGGAGGGCACTCCCCTGAGGAAGGTGGGCCCACAACCTGGCACTGCGTCACACTCGATAAAACGTCCCTCCCCAGTTGACAACTGACTCCTCCAGACGCCATACCTGACTTCAGGCGCTTTCTGTTCTCAGAAGACCATGGAGGGGACTGTCCTAGCTGAGCGCACGTCACCGGCTAAGGAGCTGGCATTGTAAAAGCAGCCATCAAGGTCACTCCTGTCAAGAGTGGCCACAGAGCTGCCCCTATGCACCCTCCCTCTCCCCAGTACCAGCAGAGCGCCAGCACCGGCAGCAGGAGACAGAGCGCCCCATCTGTGAGGCCCAGAAAGGCTGCCCATGCCCCGACCTACCTGTCGTAAGCCTCCTTGAGGTCCCGGGCCAGCTTGCACTTGGGCAGGATGTGATGGAACGGGGACTGGGGCCCTTCACTGGCTGCAAGAACCACAACACAGGACTCAGGGCTCTCAGACAGGCTGGCATGGGGGCATCGTCACAGCAAGTCGGCCTTCGGAGGAACATCAGCCAACTCCCCGTCTCCACCTAAATAACAGCTGTTCTGACTGGTGGGTGCTGCGGCCAGCGGGCTAAGCGGCAGCTTGGGACGTCCATGTCACATTACCAGAGGGCTGGTGTGAATCCTGGCTGCCCTGTGCTTCTCATTCTGCTTCGAGCTAGTCCCTCCTGGGGGCGGCAGATAACGGCTCCAGTGTTAGGGCCTCTGCCACTCACAGAAGACCTAGATGGAATTCTGTCCTGGCTTCGGCTTGTCCCAGACCTGGCTGTTGTGGCCATTTAAGGAGTGAAATCAGTGGATGAAGATTTCTCTCTCTTTATGTCACTCTGGCTTTCAAGTAGATGGAAACAAACTTTTAAAAATGACACAGGGGCCGATGCTGCGGCTCACTAGGCTAATCCTCCGCCTTGCAGCACCAGCACACCGGGTTCTAGTCCCAGTTGGGGCGCCGGATTCTGTCCCGGTTGCTCCTCTTCCAGGCCAGCTCTCTGCTATGGCCAGGGAGTGCAGTGGAGGATGGCCCAAGTTCTTGGGCCCTGCACCCCATGGGAGACCAGGAGAAGCATCTGGCTCCTGCCTTCGGATCAGTGCAGTGCGCTGGCCGCAGTGCTCCGGCCATGGCGGCCATTGGAGGGTGAACCAACGGCAAAAGGAAGACCTTTCTCTCTGTCTCTCTCTCTCACTGTCCACTCTGCCTGTCAAAAAAAAAAAAAAAAAAAAAATAGACACAGGGAGCTGGCATTGTGGTGTAGTAGACAGAGCCACCACCTGTGATGCTGGAATCGCATATGGGTGCTGGCTCACATCCCAGCTGCTCCATTTCCCATCCAACTCGCTATTAATGGCCTGGGAAAGACGCAGAGACTGGCCCAGGTACTTGGGCCCCTGTTCCCGACCTGGAAGAAACTCCTGGCTCCTGCTTGGCCCAGCCCTGGCCATTGTGGTCATCTGGGGAGTGAACCAGCACATGGATTCTCTCTCTTCCCTCCCTCGCACGCTCCCTCCCTCCCTCCTCCCCCACCTTTCCTCCCTCCCTCCCCATCTTTCCTCCCTCCCTCTCTGTAACTCTTTCAAATAAATAAATAGATCTTAAAAAAAAAAATGAGACTTAGGAGACAGGCATTTGGCACAGTGGTTAAGACACTGTACTCCATACCAGAGTGCCTGAAGTCACATTGGGTCCAGCTTCCTGTTAACGTACACCCTGGAGGGAGCAGATGGCAGCTCAAATATCAGGGCTCCCTGCTACTCACACAGGAGACCCAGGTCGGGGTCTGGCTCCTGGCTTTGGCCTGACCTGACTGTGCCTGTTGTGGGCATTTGGGGAGCAAACAAGAGGAAGGGAAATCTCTCTCTACTTTTCAAATAAATAAATAAAAATAAACTTCTGGATTGTAGTCATATTAGCACATACTTGGTCAAAACAGAAATATATTGTAAATTTTGATAGGTAACTGTCAAATATAAAGACTTCACTGATAATACATCTGCGTCAAGCAGAGGAGTTTCCGTGTTATTAACTCGTGCGTGACAACTGCTGCTTGGTGTGCGGCTATAAGGGGCAGGCCAGACTTTCAGGCTGTTCCCAGTTCTCTCATCTGGGATAGAGGTGCTAACTGGGAAAACGAGGTACAGAGCTTCTTACAGGTATCCCTCCACGTTTTAAAATGTTTACTCAGGACAAACATCACAGCCATCTACATGCGAAGGTTAATTTTAGTAACTGGTTAGTTGGTAACTCTGTTAGGGCTTAGCTGAATGATAAGAATCAAGGCTTCTCACCTCCAGCTGGGTCCACCCAGGTCCACTTACCCCAGGGAAACTCACCAGCAGGACCAGGGCCTGGCCTAGGGGAAGGGGCCCCCACAGCAGCACATGGGGAGAGAGAATGTTCCAGCTAGGAAACAACCTTGGCGACTCTACCCGATGAAGCAGAGCCTGGTCAGAGCTGTGCTGCATCAGGCTAAGCCTCAGCCTGCAGTGCCAGCATCCCAGAGGGGTGCCAGGTCAGTCCTGGCTGCTCTACTTCTCATCCAGCTCCCTGCTAATGCACCTGGGAGGGCAATGGAAGATGGCCCTAGCCCTTGGGCCCTACCACCTACATGGGAGACCCAGAAGAAGCTCCTGGCTCCTGGCTCCTGGCTTCAGCCTGGCCCAATCCAGGGCGTTGCAGCCATTTGGGGAGTGAACAGCAGATGGAAGAGCTCTGTCTCTCCTTCCCCAACTCTGCCTTTGGAATCAACCAACCAATCAAAAAAAAAAAAAAAAAAATAGTGGTGCTACAGGGGTGCTCCCTGGACCCCAGCAGTTCAACTCACAGATGCATCAGCTTCTCCCAGCCTCACTCCACAGTGTCAGAAGAGGGACGGGAGCAGCCCCTGCCCCGTGAGCTGCTGTGAGGCTGTCTCCAGGGCCCAGGGCACCAGAGGCTAATGCTATCGCCAGCTCCTGGCTGCTGTGCTGTGCTGGGGTGGAGAGGCCTCACTAACGTCTGCACCAGCAATATGGAAGGACAGACAGGCCCTGAGCTAGCCCAGACCCACGCCCACCATGCCCTGCAACACTCACCATCGGCCACCGCGGACACCTCGTCCTGGAGTGCCAGGATCAACTTGGCCTCTCTAGTGAGGTACTGGCAGCGGCGCTCCTCGTGCTGCAGCACCGTGGCAATGCGCCGAGACAGGTTGTGCAGACAGTTTATCACCGAAGGGTCAGCGTTGGCCTGCAGCAGAGAGGCCGCACACGGACTTACACATGCACACAGGACAGAGCTGCACACACAAGCTAAAAGGAGCAAGACTGCAGCTCTGAGGAAACCTCTCCACTCCGTCTGCCAAGTCCTCTCCAGTGCTGCCCGGGCTCCCAGCTCCTCACAGTGCAGCAGCAGGAATGCCAGGTGCCACTGTTCCTGGGAATGGTCACCGGGGCCACATCCAGAGACGGCTCCATGGGGCCCCAAGGGGAGCACGGGCACTTCCACCACACGGGACCATGCAGACAGGCAGGGCGCAGCTGAGGGCAGAGCTGCGGGAACCAGGTCACAGGTCTTCATCTGAGACAGCTGAGCAGAGAAGTACGTCAGACACGTAAGTGCTCAAAGTGCCCAGGCAAAGACCCTGCGAGTGTCTGTGGTCATCACAGCCTGCCACACGAGAACCAGTGACAACAGGAGCAAGGGGACAGGGAGCCCAGGACGGCCCAGAAGCACTGCACCAGCTGTCCACTGAGCACTTTCCATCAAGGCTGAGAAGCTCTTGTGGGCAAAAAGGACCCCTACTACCCAGAGAACCAGCAGGCTCCAGGCCCATGTCTCACAGCTCCCTTCGCGTCCATCTTGCCCAGACCAAGGAAGGGCGCAGAGGCTCTCGGGAGTGAGAAGGCCCTCGCTCCTCTGGAGCTATCAGGAGCCACAGGTGGCCAGGTAAGTGCATCGCCCAGGCCAAGGGTGGAACATGCAGCCACAGGGTCTGTGAAGACGTTCAGGGGAGCAGATAACCAGGCCAAGCATGACTCAGTGCTTTGGAGGCCCAGAGGGTGCTGAGTCACCCCATGGGGTGGAGGGGAGAGGGGAGAGGGGCAGATGGTCCGGACGATTGCAGCCTCTGGTGCTGCCTCCCTCCTGCTTATCTGAGAAGTGGGCACAGCAGACTCTGGGGCCAAAGGCTCACCCGGGCACGTGAACACTTTCTTCGCCTGGAACTGGAGAGATTTTCTACTCTCCCAACAGAGCTACGGTGAGTCACAAGGGGTGCCGGAACTCGTCCCTGGGCGGCCTTGCCGCCTCTCAGCTGCGATGGCCGCAGAATGGGCGAGCTGACAATTCGCATGTTCGGTAGTCACTTTCCAGAGCAGACACATCTCCAGCTCAGCCGTCATCACAGAGGTCTCTGTGTGGGTCAGGGGTTCTGTGTGGTAGCGAGGACGCCCACATCCCACACCAGACTGCCTGGGCTCAGCTCCCAGCTCTGGCTCCTGCCTCCAGCTTCTGCTAACACAGACCCTGGGAAGCAGTGCTGACTCAAATCACTGGATTCCTGCCACCCATGTGGGAGACTTGGACTGAGTTCCTGGCTCCAAGCTTCAGCCCTCACCCAGCCTTGGCCATTACAGACCTGTGGGAAGTGAACAACTGACTAGAGCACTCTCCCTCTCTCTCTTCTCAAATTAAAAAAAAAAAAAAAAAGCCCGGCGCCGTGGCTCACTAGGCTAATCCTCCGCCTTGCGGCGCCGGCACACCAGGTTCTAGTCCCGGTCGGGGTGCCAGATTCTGTCCCGGTTGCCCCTCTTCCAGGCCAGCTCTCTGCTGTGGCCCGGGAGTGCAGTGGAAGATGGCCCAAGTGCTTGGGCCCTGCATCCCATGGGAGACCAGGAGAAGCACCTGGCTCCTGCCATCAGATCAGCGTGGTGCACTGGCCGCAGCACGCCAGCTGCAGCGGCCATTAGAGAGTGAACCAACGGCAAAAGGAAGACCTTTCTCTCTCTCTCTCTCTCTCTCACTGTCCACTCTGCCAGTCAAAAAAAAAAAAAAAAAAAAAAGCCGCTGTCTCCTTGCCAGCAGGACTGTGGCTGCTGAGGGCAGCGCACACTGTGCTGCCAGCACTGCTCCTCAGAGCCAAGAGCCTGCCTGGGTGAGGCTGTGGCTGCTTCAGCATCATCCCCCGGGGGGTATCAGGGCTGACAGGTGGACAGCATTCATCATGGCTTGCTTATTCATTTATTCTTATTTTCATTATGTAATTACGTAAAAAACACAGGATATGTGAAAACAGTGAAGTGTATCAAGCACAGAGTGACGCTCTCCTCCCAGGGCCTCAGGCCACAGGGACGGTCTCACCATCACTATCTAATAACAAGGTGGGAAGTTTAAAATTGAGCTCCCTTTATTTTTTTTTTAAAGATTTATTTTATTTATTTGAAAGAGTTACACAGAGAGAGAGAGAGAAAGAGAGAGAGAGAGAGAGAAAGTCTTCCATTCCACTGATCCATTCCCCAAATGACCACAATGGCCAGAGCTGAGCTGATACAAAGCCAGGAGCCAGGAGCTTCCTCCAGGTCTCCCTCATGGGTGCAGGACCCAAAGACTTGGGCCACCTTCTACTGCCTTCCCAGGCCATAGCAGAGAGCTGGATCAGAAGTGGAGCAGCCGGGACTCGAACCAGCACCCACATGGGATGCCAGTGCAGCGGGCTGGGGCTTTAACCCACTGGACTACACTGCCGGCCCCTGAGCTCCCTTTAAAAGGAGCTTTCTGCTCTCATATTTCCATTTTGAGCCATTCACAGTGAGACCTGTGGTCTCCACACCAAATAACTCTAAACGGAACCCTAACCTGGAGACGGGGCAGAGCCCCTTGCTCTGAAGGTTTCCAAAGCACATACGGCACCTGACCCTGAGACCCAGGCCCTTCCCTGCATGTCTGCACGTGTGCCCGCAAAGCAGCACGGGACGCTCTGGCGCATACAGAGTGGGTATTCCAGAGGGCTCCATTATCTAACGGTCATGGGAATTAAATTTCTTAGTATTTCAGTCCTTGCAAACACAAGCCAGTCTTTACCCAGGCGTACATTTCCAGTTCATCTGGATCACACACATTGTGACAGGTCAGGTTTAAGGAAAACACGTTTTCTGTGAGAGGTGGAAACAACCTTAGGCGGAGCTGAGAACTGCCTCGAGAAGTAACAGCTTGGGAGCAGGCCTGGTGGAAGATCCTTCTCTCAGTCTCCCCCCTCACTGTCTGCAACTCTACCTCTCAACCAAAATCTTTAAAAAAGAAAACAAATGGAATACAACAAGGTGTTGATGAGGATGTGGACAATCGGAACCCTCACACACTGCAGATGAGAATAAAAACAATGCATACAGTCAGCAGTTCCTCAAAAGGATAAACACAGTTACCACAAGACCCAGAATTTCCCTTCTAGGCACACATCTGAGAGAAACGAAGATGCGTGTGCACACAAAAACTTGCAGCACGCACGGGCCCGCGGCAGCACCGTTCCTAGCAGCACGCACGGGCCCACGGCAGCACCGTTCCTAGCAGCTCAAACGTCCACCGACAGATGAATGAGTGACTGGGCCGCAGAAGGGACACAGCGCTGACACAAGCGACCACAGGGACGGTCCTCGGCAGCCTGCCAGGCGAAGGAGCCACACACCAAAGGCCAGTACCACGTGATCACACCTACTAAAACACACACAGCAAACCCACAAGGACAGAAGGCACTGGTGCTCTCCAGAGGGGAGACCAGGGAACAGCTGTTGATGGGTTCAGGGGTTCCTTCCACGGTAGTGAGAGTGTTCTGGATCTGGACGGTGGTGATGAATGATCAAGAGTGACAGACAATGAGGGAGGGGGTGGTGATGGATACTGTGAATGGAGTGGCATCGGTCACTCACTACGCACTTGAACATGGTCAATACCCTCATTTTACCAAAACAAAGGGGAACAACCAGGTGGGTTCTGCCTGCCCATGGTGTGAGCTCTGACTAAACAGCACAGCTGTGGGAGCGGAGCCTCCCTGACCCTGCACCCTGAGCCCAACCATTCATACACTCACCCTCAGCGCAAACACCACGTTGAAGAGAATCATGGTAGGGGCATCCCTCTTCGGAGACGGATCTGTTTTGGAGATCTGTAATAGAGGGGTCGTTCCAATTAACGCAGAGCCATGACTTCCAGAAACAGCTGCTCAGAGCAGAGGCAAAGGCCCCCGAGCGGAACCAGGGGATCAGTGCCTGTTCCAGAGGAGCCAGCTGTGACCCGAGCAGGACAGGTCTGCAGACGTGAGCCGACCACGCCCACAGGAAACAGGCTGGGGGCTCACGGCGGCAGACGGCCCAGCCCCACGGCCCTGCTGTTGTCCTCAGAGTCTACCTGCACCCACCCAGACTGCTCTGTCACAGATGACAAGTATTTAGGACAGTTTCTAGAGACAGGGCAGTACTCAGGGTCAGCAGAGGCCTAGGCAGATACCCGGTGAGGTGGAGCAGCTGGCCTCACTCCAGTCAAGTCCTCGGCTCGGAGCCACTCTGACATCACAAACACCGAAGCACCCAAAAGCAGCATGGAAGGTGGTGGGTGGGTGGGGGACGCTCTACAGAGCTCTCCTAAGCCAAGTACAAGCATCGCCACTGGGGGAACTGGAGTCCCTTCCCCAGCTCTCTCTCAGCCACCCCAGGCAGGATCTCCATCCGCACCTGTCACTCCAGTTCCACCGGGCAGGCTGCCAGGCCCCCCCCATCACCCACAGACAGGGACTGAGCCCCACGGTGAGGGAGAGGGTGCCTTCCATCCTCCTCCTGGGCTTCTTCATGGAGGTCTGTGAAGCACATCTCACACGACTTCGGGACTCCCTAAAGGAATCTGAGCGACGCTGCTGATGCCTGTGTGCAAAAGGCCAACAGCAGGCGCTGGGCTGCAGGTTGCCTTGGAAACCAACAGGACAACCCACCTTGCTGACACTGCTTGGTACTGTGAAGTGCGCTCATCAGAGACCCACCTGGGACACCCAGAACAAGCTCCTGGCCCCTGGCTTCAGCCTGGCCTAGCCCAGACCGCTGCAGCCATTTAGGGAGTAAACCAGCAGATGAAATATCTCTCTGTCTCTACATCTCTGTTACTCTGTTTTCAAATGAATAAATAAATAATAAAAAAGACAGAGACCAAGACAAGAGCTTAGCACAATACCAAGTGCTTCTTTAGAACACTGGCACTGGCTAGTGGAATAGAATTTAATAAATGCTTCCTTTAATACAAAGGAAGAAGAAACATCTGCACCATTTTGTGGGTTTGGGGCTGCAGTGGGTTAAAGTCCCGGCCTGCAGTGCCAGCATCCCATATGGGTACCAGTTTAAGTCCCAGCTGCTCCACTTCTGATCCAGCTCCCTACACCTGGGAAAACCAGTGGAAGATGGCTGAAGTGCTTGGGCTCCGGCACCCATGAGGGAGACCTGAAAGAAACTCCTGGCTCCTGGCTTCAGATCAGCTCAGCTCCACCTGTTGCAGCTATCTGGGGAGCCAACCAGCAGATGGAAGACCTGTCTTTCTCTATCTCTACCTCTCTCTCTCTTTTTTTTTTTTTTTTTTTTTTTGACAGGCAGAGTGGATAGTGAGAGAGACAGAGAGAAAGATCTTCCTTTTGATCCGATGGCAGGAGCCAGGTGCTTCTCCTGGTCTCCCATGGGGTGCAGGGCCCAAGCACTTGGGCCATCCTCCACTGCCTTCCCGGGCCACAGCAGAGAGCTGGCCTGGAAGAGGGGCAACCGGGACAGAATCCGGCGCCCCGACCGGGACTAGAATCCGGTGTGCCGGTGCCGCAGGCGGAGGATTAGCCTAGTGAGCCGCGGCGCCGGCCTTCTAATTCTTTCAAATAAATTTTTTTAAAAATATTTAATTAAAAACAAGAAAGAGAAGTTCAGGTTTTATGTGGGAGACCCAGGAAAAGCTGCTGGTTCCTGGCTTCAGCCCAGCTCAGCCCTGGCTATTGTAGCTATCTTGGGAGTGAATCAGTGCTTGGAAGACCTTTCTCTGACTCTAACTCTGGATTTCAAATAGATAAATATATCTTTAAGAACAAAAACAAAGTTCTGGTTTGACAGAGGCTGGCTGGTCACGCTCTGGGCCTCTCTAGAAACATACACGTCTTGCGCGTAAAGGGGAAGGCACAGTCAGGAGACCCGGGATGCAACAGCTAAGGCCAGGGCAGGAGCTGAAGCACACGGAGCACCCGAGGGCCTGTGAAGACACACAGCTCACAGCAAACGCCTGCTGCCACTGCTGCCTTAGCAGAGCCAGCACCAGCCACACAGCTAGAACGAACCAGCCTGCCCACCCAGGAAGGGCCACGCTGCCCACCCAGGAAGGGCCACGCTGCCCACCCAGGAAGAGGCCATGCTGCCCACCCAGGAAGGGGCCAGGCCTCCCACCCAGGAAGCGCCACGCTGCCCACCCAGGAAGGACCACGCTGCCCACCCAGGAAGGACCATGCTGCCCACCCAGGAAGGGCCACGCTGCCCACCCAGGAAGGACCACGCTGCCCACCCAGGAAGGGCCATGCTGCCCACCCAGGAAGGGGCCAGGCCTCCCACCCAGGAAGGACCACGCTGCCCACCCAGGAAGGGGCCAGGCCTCCCACCCAGGAAGGACCACGCTGCCCACCCAGGAAGGGCCACGCTGCCCACCCAGGAAGGGCCACGCTGCCCACCCAGGAAGGGCCATACCTGCCCCAGAGCATGTTGCAGTAACGTTGGGTGCCCAACAAACCGCACATTATCGATCTTCAGCTCAAATTTTTGGCCACACATTTCAGACTTGGTTGCCAAAATTGTTGCCAGAATAACATCTGAAAACCTTAAAATTAAAAAAAGGTAGAACAGAAATAAGTTACCAAGTAGCACATCACCAGGGCCCACGGCATGGGCGAGGGCCTGCGTGAGCAGCCGCCGCCAAGCTGCTCAGCCTCCACTGCTGGCCCGGTTCCCACCAGTCCCCCCACAAGGACTCCGCGCGGCGAAGGACGGGAAATCGTCAGAATCCTGGTGAAGCACGGGAAGCAGACAGCACCAGCTGTCAACCGGCCCAGGTGCCATGAAATGCAAGCAACAGCGCAGTTTGCTTTTGCAAGGAGGACCCTCTGGAGCTGGCAGTGCCCCAGAGAGGGGCTCCCCGGCTGCGTCAGGTGTGCGCGGTACCCCTCGGCCCCAGACCCTGCCGCCAGCCCAGGGTACTGAAGGGGCAAGGGCACCGCACTGAGCAATGCGTGCGGCACAGCACCTGGTCCTGAATGCGCTGAGTGGGCTGGAAACTGTCTACGGCGTGCAGAACCACCGTGGTTCCAACTATTGCCTAGGGACTCACAGGAGTGGCTGCCACAGAGGCGTGGGGAGGGCAGGGTGTGGCATCTGAGACGTCGGAACCCGTCTGGGCAAGGGAGAGAGCCTGCAGGGAGGAGAGCGCTCTGGGCAGTGCTGGCTCCCACCTCAGGGCCCAGGGCTCCGAGGGCCTCTCCTCCAGAAACATGGAAGCGCGTGTCTGCTCAAGCTAGGAAAGAGGAACCCCGTCCTTCCAGCCACCAGGAAAGTCATTCCTGCCGTACGCTGTCTCGGGGCGGGCCACAGGCCACAGCCCAGGCCCCTGCAGTGCGTGTGCCTGATCACACTTCCTTCCTGGCCGTCCTCTCATGGGGGCTGGGGGAGACTGACCTCCTAACACCTTCATTGATGATGAAAAGCAATGTCTGCTTGGCGAAGCAGCCGTAACCCGACTCCATATCAGCAAGCGACCGGGATGAAGGCCTGGGAAGGGAGCCAGCCCTCCTGGCAACCTTACACAAGGCAGGGCTGGGACTGGAGTGACTGAAGTCAGTCTGCAGCAAATCTCACCATGGCCAACCAACACTGGCACCCAACAAAGACCAGCAGCTGTGGGTTCTTCCCAGGTCTCCCCCGGACCAGTGGGGGGCCAAAGACTGCCAAGTCCTGGTTTCCTCCAGAACAGGTCACGATGGACCTCCACACAAACCAGACGCAGGAGGGCTGGTGAGAAGGGGCCGTCTTGTCTCACATGGCCACAGTGGCGGTCAGGCCTTCTGAAACTGAGACACCCTCAGAAGCGGCATCCTGGCCACCTGCTTCAGACCTCCTTCCCTGGAATACTGCTCTCCGGGATGACGACACCAGACAGGGAGGCTCAAGGACCAAACGCCACCCTCAAGAACTCTGTGTCTCACCCTGTCCTGGAATCTGAGGACTCAGAGACCAGAGGCGGCTTCGGCTATCAAAGCCCCTAGGAACACGTCTGCCCCAACAGATAACCCAGGGCCCTCGCATCTCATCTGGACAAACAGCCTCCGCTCCCCACCCCTGGCAGGGAAAGCAGACAGAAAATGACCTCTACTACTCCAGAGAGTGTCCTTCCTCCTGGGACCGCCAAAGCTCCCCACTGGAGGCCACCGTGTCATGAAGAACCACAACGTGCCTCAGGTCCGGCTCCAGGCCAGGGACCCTCAGGGGTGAGCAGAGGCAGTCCAGTTCCCACGCACACACACTCCAGCCCCAAGCTGTCATTGCAAGGGCCACAGCGTTCCTCCCTAGGGCAGCTGCACGAGCCGGCAGAGCTGTGTGTGGCGTAGTAGAGCGCGGCACAGCTCCGTGTCACACACCTGGGGTGGAGAATGCACCAGTGGCTTCATTCTTTAAATAACGCATCTGCTGATATTACGTGCAGTCACAATTATAACATGAGGTGACAACATCTGCTTGTTGCTTCTAAAACTGAAAAAAATCCTTTCCCTTTATTTTGATCGTTAATGGCCTGATAAATGTATGTAACACACAGTAAGACAACTGTCATGAAAACTAAAGATTCCTGGGATAACTACGAAATGTAGGAAAAATACATTTAGCAAAGTGGAGCAGCCCAGCCAGCATGGGCCAAGTCCTCTATTCCTGTCAAGATGCTTGTTCCGGAGCACGGCTTGGCCAAAAATGGGGGTGGGAGGACAGCCCAGGAGGGAGCTCGACTGTGTCCCCTGCCCCAGCCTCGATGCTGGGTGCTCCCAGACAGTGTTAGGAGCCTGGCCTCCCCAACACGAGCTCCAGCACAGCCACCCCATCAGCTCCGTGGGAACACTTCTGCTCTTACGAGGCATGCCCAGTGGCATCACACTAATGCCCAACCCTTGGGGACGGTCCCACTAAGTCCCATGAGAAATGGAGACAAGGAGCAAGAACCACAGCGGGGTGGGCCAGGGCGATGAGAAACCCCTCCGCCCTCACAGGAAAGCCAGTACCCACCAGGGAGAGCCGGTGGTCTGTGTGACACACTTGGTCCTAGAGTCTCCCTGGTCCCAGGCAACCATGCTCACCAGCTGGAAGATATGGCTGGCAGAAACGGGAGCAGAACCATCAGGACCAGGCAAATAAGCACCATGAAATGTTACGATGCTGTTTTATAAAAACAGTAGTAACATCAGGGGCAGCACTGTGGCGTAGCGGGTAAAGCCACCGCCTGCAGTGCAGGCATCCCATATGGGTGCCGGTTCAAGACCCAGCTGCTCCACTTCCCATCCAGCTTTCTGCTGTGGCCTGGGAAAGCAGTAGAAGACGGCCCAGGTCCTTGGGCCTCTGCACCCACATGGGAGACCCTGGCTTCAGATCGGCACAGCTCTGACCGTTCCGGCCATCTGGGGAGTGAACCAGCGGATGGAAGACCCCTCTCTGTCTGTCTCTCTCTCTCGGCCTCTCCTTCTCTCTCTGTGTAACTGCGACTTTCAAGTAAAATAAATAAAATAAATCTTAAAAAAAAAAAATAGTAACGTCAAGCAGAAATGCCATCATGAAGCTTCAGCTGCTGGCCAGCTTAGCCAACAAGAACCTTACCCACCTCGAATGCTTACCACGAGGTTTTCTTACCAAAGCTTAAGTTCCCACACATAAGAGTGGGCTGGGGATGGCTGTGGCGGACAACAGACTAGACTTCTGTCTGGGATGCTGCTATCAGAGGGCCTGGGATCCAGCTTCTCGCTCATGTGCGCCCTGGGAGGCAGCAGTGAGGGCTCAAATACTCGCTCCCTGACACGCACACTGGAGACCTGGATGGAGTTCCAGGCTCCTGGCCTTGGCCTGGCCCGGCCCCAACTGTTTCGGGCATTTGAGGAGAGACCCAACAGATGGAAGCACTCTCTTGCGCACTTTCTGTTGCTATGTCTTTTTAAAAATAAACTTTTTAAAAAAACAGGTTGGGTGGGAATGTGAGTCTCTCTGGAAGCAAGTGCAACGCTGCAACGCTGCAGCCCTACTCCAAAGGCAGCACGCTGGACTAGCTGAGCGCCGGCACACAGGGCGCTATCTGCACAAGCACACGGCTCTCATCTGCACAGCTGGAACCATCTGCTCAGCATCAGACACGCCCCGCAGGCAGAGGCATCTGGCTATCATCAGCCCCAGTGCCGCCCTGGGCCTGGCCTCCGCAGTGAGCAGCCCTGGTGGACCCACAGGTATTCGTGTCCACTAAGAATGTGTGTTCCCCGACAGAGACTTTCATGCTGGGACATGCTGCTTTCCAAGCGTCGAGGGAACAAAGAGGAGATCTGAACCCAGCAGTGAGACCATGTGCTCATCCACGGAGCCTCCTGCCGGCCAGCTGCTCCCACAGTGCTCGCTGAGAAACACACACTGCCTGATCCAGGCAAAATCCACAACCAAGAACCCGCTCCTAAACTTCAGCCTCTCAGCTTCCATGAGTCTAACATAAGCAGTCTTCAAAAGTTCATGGAAAATGCAAATTATGAAAAATCCACGCATGAATTTCCAATTTTTTTGTACCAAATAAACTTACATTTTAATCGCATTTTTCTGTGAACCTCCTGAAATATCCTCAAGTTAAAGGGTCAAGAAGTTGCATGGGCCGGCGCCGCAGCTCACTAGGCTAATCTTCCACCTTGCGGCGCCGGCACACCGGGTTCTAGTCCCGGTCAGGGCGCCGGATTCTGTCCCAGTTGCCCCTCTTCCAGGCCAGCCCTCTGCTGTGGCCAGGGAGTGCAGTGGAGGATGGCCCAGGTGCTTGGGCCCTGCACCCCATGGGAGACCAGGAGAAGCACCTGGCTCCTGGCTTCGGATCAGCACAGTGCGCTGGCCCCAGCGTGCCGGCCGCGGCGGCCATTGGAGGGTGAACCAACGGCAAAGGAAGACCTTTCTCTCTGTCTCTCTCTCTCTCACTGTCCACTCTGCCTGTCAAAAAAATTAAATTTAATTTAATTTAATTAAAATTTAAAAAAATACAAATAAAAATAAGAAGTTGCATGGACTTTCCCAAAACAGCCAAGAAAGCCAGAATCCAAAACGAGGCTCCCTCTGAGCCTTGTCTCCTACAACCACACAACACAGTGCAAGCCCTGCACCTCCAGAGGACAACAGCAAGCACACCGCAGGGCTTCTGAGTGCCTGCAACGTCCCATCTCCTGGTAGGGGTGCTGGAAGGACCTGCGGCTGCCCTGAGAGGGCCAGGGCAGTCAGCGCTCACCACTGAGACACGGATGCTCCCACAGCACCCAGGTCTGCGAGGGGCGGGAGGTAACCTGCCATCCGCAGGCACCCACGGAGGATCTGAGACCGAGGCTCACCTAAGGAGCACACACTGTGGGATGCAGAGCAGGCGTCAAGCCTGGTGCCACGGGTCTGCACCTGCCCAGGGCGCTGCCCTGCAGCGTGGGGACACAGCCACCGCCCACTTTCTCACACGTCGACCTCACCACAGGAAGGAGGGCCTACGGCTCCAGGCACGTGCTAAGGCAAGGCCTGCAGAAGCAGAGCCCCGTGTGCACTTGGTGACAGAACTGAGTGCTGTGAGCTGCAGAGGGCTTGGGCTTGCCTAGACAGACTCCATCCGGCCAGCGCCTCCCCCATCTGCAAGCTGGACCCACTACCGGGAGAAAAGCAGCCCAGCCTAGAGGGCAGCAGTGCCTCCACAACGGCCCTCCAGAGGGGAAGGGTGAAGAGAACCTGAGCCCAGCTCTGGGAAGGTCTTCCAGGCGGTATCTAAGGAAAACTGATTTCTGGGCATTTTGGTACTAAAAGAAATCAACTCTTCCCCAGGTTTCTAACTCCCTGCTTCTCTTAAAGTAGAGGCCAGAGGGCTGCTGGCAGTCTTGCAGAGGGGCAGCAAGATGGCTGGCCACACTGGGATGGGAGGGGCCCTGCTTTCTTCTCAGACCCCTCACTGACCTTGGCCCCTACGGGTGTGAGGAACACGAGACACACTGAAACACAGCACCCATCCCCTCACCCTAACCAACACAACTTATCTGATCTCAAATTTCAAGTCCTAGAAACAATGAACAATACCCATTTTCTTTACTCCTTACTGAATTTTTTATATGTAAAAAATAACTTCTACTTTCTATGAATTACATCTTGATGATACACCTTAAAAAACTGGCCTACTGGGGCCGGCACTGTGGTGCAGCGGGTTAATGCCCTGGCCTGCAGTGCTGGCATTCCATATAGGCGCTGGTTCTAGTCCCGGCTGCTCCTCTTCCAATCCAGCTCTCTGCTGTGGCTTGGGAAAGCAGTAGAAGATGGCCCAAGTCCTTGGGCCCCTGCACCCACGTGGGAGACCTGGAAGAAGCTCCTGGCTCCTGGCTTCGGATTGGCGCAGCTCTGGCCGTTGCGGCCAGTTGGGGAGTGAACCAGCAGGTGGAAGACCTCTCTCTCTGTCTCTCTCTGCCTCTCTCTCTCTGTGTAACTCTGACTTTCAAATAAATAAATAAATAAATCTTAAAACAACAACAGGCTGGCCTGCTCTCTAAGCCAGCATACACAGAACTTCTGCAGCAGGAGTGTCACAGATCTGCACCATTCACACAGCAGCTTCCAGTCCAACATGGCCCCTAGCACCTGAAATCTGGCCAGTGCAACTGGCCATTTTTTAACTTTATTTGTTATTTTTCCAATTAAACGTCCAGTTCGAGGGGCAGACATTTGGTGCAGCAGTTAGGATGCTCACATCCCTTACCAAGAGTGTCTGAGTTCAAATCTGGCTTCCCTTCTGATTCCAGCTTCCTGCTAATGTGTGCCCGGGAGACAGCAGGGGATGGCTCAGTGACTGGGTCCCTGCTACCACGTGGGAGACACAGAGTGAGCTCTCGGCTCCTGGCTTCAGCCTGGCCCAGGTCCAGCTGTTTCTCCAGCATCTGGGGAATGAATCAGTGGATGAAAGATCTCTCTTTTTCTGCCTTTCAAATAAATTTTAAAATAATTAATAAACTAATTTTTAAAAAGAAATGAAAAGGAGTTCTCAATTTTCTAGGACTTCCTGGGCCCTTCTAAAGAAAGTCAATCCACAAAAGGTCACAGAGACTTAAAGAGGATTTCATGGCTGCCATTTGTAAAGACAGCCGATGGTATGTTCCATATATAAATGGCCACACGGGCCAGTGGTTACAACACCGGCAGCTGTGTCCTCACTTCTCTAAGGCCTCACCACTCAGATGCTACTGTGTAGCCCATTAACATTGCTAAATCTGGCAAACTGACAAGGACCATTCTGCTGGTTCTTAAAATAAAAGTACCAAGACAATCAGCAAACACACCACGTTCAAAGCACCGCTCCAGGAATACGCTCTGAGCAATGCAGAACAAGGTCTGACAAAAGCATCAAGGAAACTGGGCCCAAGGGTCCAGCAGACTCGGGTCGGGGATCGGATCAACGCATGCTGTGACGCGTTCAACTGTCAAATGAAGCACTTCTTAGCCCACAGGAGAACAACTCTCCACCCACTGTTCTCTCTGCACTGCAGCGAGTGATGATCACCTGCCTAGAGCACACCCCACGGTCGCTCCACCGTCTGAAGTGGAGCTGCAGGAATGAAGTGTCCTGGCCTTGCTGTTCTGAGGGCTCTCTCTGAGTGCAGCAGCCCAGCCTCACGTCTAGAGACGCCTGGCGGAAGGAGAATGAGGTGTGGGGCAGGAACAGCCCTGCTCTGTGTGGACAAGACACAGCTGTCCAGTGTACAGGGACAAAAGCTTCTGTTCCAAGCCCTCTCGCCCCAAAATACTAAACCCCCACAAGCCCTTCTGTCAAGAAGACTATCCTCTGGGAATCCAGCAACACCTGCCTTCAGCCACCCCCACCTGCTGGGCTTCCTCCATAGGCCACTCCCCTTGGAGAGTCACTGGTCATGCTAGAGTGGCCAGCATCCTTACACAAGATAAAAACCTCACAGCTCCTCGAACTGCAAACAGCTATGGCGGGTGGTGCCTTGTCCGAGAACTGGAGGGAAGGCACGTGTTCAGCACAGGCCCAGTGTGCGTTCTCCCTGGATGGCGGAGGCCACGTCCCTTACCTCAGGAGGCCCTTTCTGTGTTTAGAGGAACCCAGAGCAGGTAACTTACACTCTTCCCTCCTTCATCTAAGCCTACGTCATCATCCACTAGGCTATAAAATGAACCCAGGAGCTAAGTGGCCTTTTCCGAGGTTTCTGGCTTGACAGCACCTCCCAGGGAGAGCAGGGCAGTATCCTCTGTGTCGAAAGAGCCCTCAGCCTACTGCCCCTACTACCACCTGAGCCTGGCAACCGGGCAGGCCTGGGCAGGCTGTGCCATACCTGAGCTCTGCACAGGGCACCCGGCACTCAGCTGAAGACAGCGCATGAGCCTGGCAACCGGGCAGGTCTGGGCAGGCTGTGCCATACCTGAGCTCTGCACGGGGCGCCCGGCACTCAGCTGAAGACAGCGCATGAGCCTGGCAACCGGGCAGGCCTGGGCAGGCTGTGCCATACCTGAGCTCTGCACGGGGCGCCCGGCACTCAGCTGAAGACAGCGCAGGGTCTGCTTTCCTCTCCCAGGAGCTCAGTGTCCCGCTCCACCCCCGACCTGCTCACAGCCTCACAGCCCACAGCTGGAACAGAAACGGCACTGCGGTGCCCCGCTCCGCACTGCCTCAGAGCGCTCGGTGAGCAGGTTTCTCAGAGAAGGAAGCGTCCTCCACAGGAGAGGAGGGCTCTGCTGAGGCCTGGGCACACAGAGTCCTTACCTGGAGTCGCCGTCCTGGTCATCAACGTGGTCCCCGGTGTGGTTAACAGCATACCTGCTACGTGGCTGACCTGAGTGAGGGCAAAAAGACGACAGTGGCTAAGAAAGCAGGATCTCTCCAGGGGACTGTGGGGCCACGAAAACCACTGTTTCCAAAACAGTCTACCCACACAACAGAACAGGCTTCAGCCATCAAAAGCAGTGAGCATGAATCTTTTCTTAAAAAAAAAAAAAAAGATTTATCTTTATTATTTAAAAGGCAGAGTTACAGAGAGGAAGAGGCAGAGAGAGGTCTTCCATCTGCTCCTTCATTCCCCAGATGGCTACAAGGGCCAGAACTGTGCCGATCCGAAGCCAGGAGCCAGGAGCTTCTTCCAGGTCTCCCACGCAGATGCAGGGCCTCAAGCACTTGGGCCATCTTCTACTGCTTTCCCAGGCCACAGCAGAGAGCTGGGTCGGAAGTGGAGTAGCCGGGACTCAAACTGGCATCCATATCGGCTTTACCCACTATGCCACAGTGCCAGCCCCAAGCATGAATCTTAAAAGCACTGTTCTGGGCCAGCACTGTGGCACAGTGGGTTAATCCTCTGCCTGCAGCGCTGGCATCCCATATGGACACCAGTTAGTCTCCCTGCATGGGAGACCTGGAAGAGGTTCCTGGTTCCTGACTTCGGCTCAGCTCCAGGGAGTGAACCAGCAGGTGGAAAACCTTTCTCTCTGTCTCTCTCATTGTCTGTAACTCTACCTCTCAAACAAAAAAAGCACTGTGTTTACTGAAATAAGCCAGACACAAAAGGACAAACACTGTGCTCCTATGGATTATCTGGAACACACACATTCCTCAAAACAGAAAGTGCCAAGTCAGCAGGAGCTGAGGGCCGAGGGGAGATGAGCGTTGCTGCTGCACAGGTGCAGGGGTACAGTTTAGACGACAGGTGTTGGAAATGGGTATTAGTGATGGTTGAATAATACAGTCCAGTGTAACTACTGCCACTGAACTACACCCTTAAAACAGCTAAACATATTAAATTTTCAAAAAAACTATGGTTTCCAAGAAGTTATGACAACATGGAGGAAATGTCTTTGCTACTACGTTTCAGGTATTTAGGTGTGGGCATTGTGATGTGACAGATTACACTGTGCCCGCGTCGCGGCACTGGTCTGAGCCCCAGCTAGCTACTCTGCACGTCCATCAGCCTCCTGCTCGCACCCCTAGGAGGCAGCGGAACATGGCCCAAGTACTTGGGTCCCTGCTACCCACGTGAGACCTGGACGGAGTTCCTGGCTCCTGGCTTCAGCCTGGCCCAGCCACAGCTGTGGTGAACATTGAGGGAGTAAGCCAGCAGATAAAGATCTCTTGTCTCTCTCTGTCTCTCCCTCTGTCAGATGAATTGTTCCATAAAATGATGCTGGAACTAAGAGGTCATATAGAAAATAAAATCACACTGGCTCTTTCACCACTGCTCCCTGGCACTCCTGGCAGCCGCGTCCTGGCCTGTCACAGCTCCCATGCCACACGGCTCCAAAGGGTGCACACGTAGCTCTTAGCAAGTGCCCCCGAAACACCAATTCTTAAAAGGAGCCTCGATAATTATAACCAAGATAATTATAACTGAAAACCCAAAAACGGGGGCAGGCATTTGGCACAGCAGTGAAGACACTGCTTGGGATGCCCACATCCCATAACAGAGTGCCTGGGTTCAAATCCTGGCTCCACTTCCAATTTTAGGTTCCTGATAATGAGCACGCTGGGAGGCAGCAGTTATGGCCGAAGTAATTGGATCCCCACCACACACGTGGATTGAGTTCCACACTCCTGACTTCAGCTTGGCCCAGCCCTAGGCACTGAGGTCATCCGGGAAGTGAAGCAACAGACAGCAGCAGTCCCTGTACAGGACTTCCTTTTTTTTTAAAGGTGTGTTTATTTGAAAGGCAGAGTGACAGAGAGGGGAGAAGAGAAAGAGATCTTCCATTCATTGGTTCACTCCCCAGAGGGCCACAACAGCTAGGTCTGGGCCAGGCTGAAGGCAGGAGCTAGGAACTACATCCTGGTCCCCGCATGTGTGATCATCTTCTACTTGAGCCATCTTCTACTGTCTTCCCAGGCACATCAGCAGGAAGCAGAGCAGTCAGGATTGGAACCAGCACCCCAAAATGGGATGCCAGCATGACAAGTGGCAGCTTAACCCACTGCACCACAGCGCCAGTCCCAGAAGACTTGTTTGTCGGTAATGTCGTACAGCAAAGGCCCTTCTATGTACCAGAACAAAAAATTCAGAAACGGTCAGAGATCAGGCTGCAAACTTGATTTCATAAAACGTCAACACTCCAGGGGCCAGTGTTGTGGCGCGGTGGGTTGTCACCACCTGCGACACCAGCGTCCCACAGGAGCACGAGTCCTGGCTGCTCCGCTCGGATCCAGCTCCCTGCCAATGTGCCTGGGAAAGCAGAAGCTGGCCCAAGTGCTTGGTCTCCTGCCACCCATGTGGGAGACCAAGATCAAATTCCCGGCTCCTGGCTTTGACCTGGCCCAACCTCGTCCATTCCATCCATGTGTGAAGTGAACAAGTAGAAACACGGTCTGTCTCTCCCTTTCTGTGTCACTCTGCCGTTCAAATAAATAAATCCATCTCTTAGAAATTTCTGAAGGGGGCTGGCGCTGTGGTGCAGTGGGTGAACGCCCTGGCCTGAAGCGCCGGCATCCCATATGGGTGCCGGTTCTAGACCCGGCTGCTCCACTTCTGATCAAGCTCTCTGCTATGGCCTAGGCAAGCCATGGGGGATGGCCCAAGTCCTTGGGCTCCTGCACCCACGTGGGAGACCCGGAAGAAGCTTCTGGCTCCTGGCTTCGGATCGGCATAGCTCCGGCCGTTGCGGCCATCTGAGGAGTGAAGTATCAGATGGAAGACCTCTCTCTCTCCCTGCCTCTCCTCTCTCTGTGTAACTCTGACTTTCAAATAAAAAAAATAAATAAATAAAAATTAAAAATTTCTGTAAAAAAATCAAAATTCCATCTGGCAAGAACTACATTCATGCCAAATGGGTATTTCCAGCATTGTCACAAAGACCTATTTCTATCTTAAATATATGAAGAGCTCCTTCAAGTTTATAAGGAAAAAAAAGAGACAATCCAAGAAAAAATTAAGCAAAGGTTATACTGGTCAGTCATGGCAAAGGAAACTCAAATAGCAACGAAAAGAGAAAAATATGTGTCCTCTCAACAATAAGACATATAAAAAAAACTACTGCCAGACATGTTACTTGTGGATGGAACTCACTGCAGCCATCAAAAAGGGCCTGATTTCTTATCCAAGGTGTAGACGTCAAGTGAAGATGAAGGCAACAAGGGGTGCTTGGAAAACAAAATGTGTGCATAGGAAGATTCTAGAAAGATGCCCAGGAATAAGCTAACAGTAGTTGCCCCTATCAGGGAAACCGGGGGACCAGGGTTCTACAATGGGAAGGGACTTTTATTCTTTATAACCTCACACACACACACACATTTTTTTTTTTTTTAACATTTATTTGCCTGAAAGGCTGAGTGACAGAGGAGAGAGGAAGATCTTCCACCTGCTGGTTCACTCCCTAAAAGGCTGCAATAGGCGGGCCAGGGCCAGGAGCCTCACTGGGAGCAGGAGCTGGACCGGAACTGGAGAAGATGGGACTGGAACAGGTGCTGACTGGGATACGGACAGAATCGTTAAACCCTTTTGAGCGTTTAAAATTTTGTACCACGTTAGCAAGTTTTATAAGAAATTATTTATTTATTCACTTGAGAGGTACAGTTACACGCAGAAAGAGGGAGAGGCAGAGAGAAAAGCCCTCCGTCTGCGGCTTCACGGCCAGAGCTGGGCCGATCTGAAGCCAGGAGCACCAGCCGGGTCTCCCACGTGGGTGCGGACCCAGGACTTGGCCATCTTCTACTGCTATCCCAGGCCACAGCAGAGAGCGGGATCGGAAGAGGAGCAGCCGGGCCTCGAACCGGCAGCCTTATGGGACGCCAGAGGCAGAGGCTTAGCCCACTAGGCCGCAGCACCGAACCCCCCATGTCAGCAATTTTTAAAGTGCTTTTAAAGCAAAACAAACGTAAACGAAGGTCTGCGAGAGAAAAGGTGTGGACAGCGCGGTCACGTGGCGGGTGAAGCACCCCACGCGGGCGCCGGTCCGTGTCGGCGCGCTGACTTCAGGTCCGGCCCCCCTAAGGGCCTGGACAGCGCCGGGACGCAGCGCCAGGCCCGGTTCCGGCCCGGCCGCGCCCTGCTCCCCGCGGACCGCCGGGTGGGAGCGCGCGCGCCGGCCCTGGCCGACAGCAAATCTTGGAACACAGGGACCCTGAGGGCGCCCTGAACGCCCCGCGCGGACTCGGCTCGAGGGCCGGCGCGCGCCGCGGGGGCGCGCACTTACTTGACTGCGACGCGGGGTGCTCCGGGCTGCGCTGGAAGGGGTACCTGAAGAGCAGCTTGTTGCCCCTGCTGCCCGAGCTCACCAGAATCACGCTGAGGGGGCTGCTGTCGTCGCCCATGGCGCCCCGCGCCGCCGAGCCGCGCGCCCGCCGCCGAGCTCGCGAGACTTCCGCCCGCCGGCCGCGCGACAGCGCGCGCACGCACGGGGATCTGCGCAGGCGCGGCGGCGGGCGCGCCCGCGCGCGCCCGTGCGGCCTCCGGGGCGCGTGCCGTGGGCGCCGCGCTCGGGCGCCGGGAGCGTGCACCACGGCGGTGGTCGAGGCCCACGGCGAGGTTAGGCGGCCGAGCGTGACGCAGGACGGCGTATGCCCACAGCCGGCGGTCCCGGAGACTTCATTTGTGTTCCTATAAAGGAGGTTATAATCGTCCCGAGGTGTCCACCCGCGGTGAATGACCCGACGGCCACGTCGCGGTGTGGCGCGCAGGTGCGGGAGCGAGCCTGGAGCCCGCTCGGACACAGCGCACGCGTGGACTGGAGATGCTGGGAGGGCGAGGGCGCTGAGGGGTGACTGCCAACCCGCAGGCCTGCTTTTTGTGTTTTGGTAATGGCTTTTAAAAAATATGTATTTGTTTATTTGAAAGAGACACGGAGGCAGAGAGAGAGAGAGAGACAGAGAGAGGTCTTCCATCCACTGGTTCACTGCCCAGTTGGCCACAACGGCCGGAGCTGCGCCGATCCGAAGCCAGGAACCAGGAGCTTCTTCCAGGTCTCCCACGCAGGTGCAGGGGCCCAAGCACTCCGGCCATCCTCACTGCTTTCCCAGGCACATTCGAGGGAGCTGGATCCAAGTGGACCGGCTGAGACTTGAACCAGGGTCCTGTGGGATGTCGGCATCACAGGCAGGGGCTTAACCTGCTGCACCACAGCACTGGCCTTGGCCGGGGATTTTTATTTTTATTTATTGATTTATTTTTGCGAGGGAATGATGAAAATGTTGATTGTGGTGATGTTTGCACAATTCTGTGAATATACTAAAAGCCATTGACTTGTATACTTTAAATGGGTATATTTTGTGATGTGTGAATCCTACCTCAATAAAGCTGTTTTCTAAATAAAAATCTCTTCACCCACCCTAACCGAAGCATCCCCAGGAAATGACTGAAATAAACAGGCTGCTGTGGCTTTCCCTCAACGCCTGAACACTCGTCCGAGACACATGTAGGTTACTGACACAAACAAGTGTGTGTTCTGCGGGACAGACCCCCAGGTTGGCCTTAGCAGCATGAGGCGCCTGCATGTGAAACGTCTCGGGCCAGCAGAGCACTGCCAGGCACACAGCTGCATCACAGCAATTTTATTCTAGTTTCCCCAAAATGTCCATAAAGTGAAATGATGTCTTGTTCCATAGTGCGTCTTTGATCAGTATTGAGGAGCCGTGTCACTGGATTGTTTGCCTGCGTCTGAGAAGTGCCTTCTTTTTAAATCTCTCCGCACTCTTCCCTGGCAGACAGTAGCACCATGGAGCAGGGCTGTGGAGGGCAGCACCTGCTTACAGAACAGGAAGTGCGACAACTCAAACGTGTGCAGCGTGCAGTCATCGAGTCGGAACGCTAGCATTTCTGTCCCTTACACATGTGCCATCTACTGTGTTACGAACCTTCAGCTTCTTTCTTGGAGTTCTTTAAAAATATATAACTAATTCTCACACTACGGTCACCCTGCTGTGGTTCCTCCCATTATCCAGCCTCCCTCCATTGCCCCTCTGCCACTTCCCAGCCTGCAGGGACCACTGTCCTGCTCTGCACAGCTGTGAGATCAGCTGTTTTCAGTTCCAGGCATGAGGGGCAACACGTGGCATTTGTCTCAATGGCTGGTCTGTTTCACAACATAATGTCCTCCAGTTCTGTCCACATTGCCACAAATGACAGGATTTCATTTTTTATGACTGAACAACACTCCATTGTGTATGCATACCACATTTTAAATTTTTTTCAGATTTATTTATTTCTTCGAGTTACAGAAAGAGAGGGCTTCCATCCATTGTTTCACTCCCCTGATGGCTGCAAGGGCTAGAGCAAGGCCTGGCCAAAGCCAGGAGCTTCTTCTGGGTCTTCCACATGGGTAGCAGGGGCCCAAATACCTGAGCCATCTTCCACTGCTTTTCTAGGCTTGTGAGCAGAAAGCTGGATCAGAAGTAGAACACCCTGTGCCCGCGTGGGAGACCCGGCAGAGGCTCCTGGCTCCTGGCTTCAGATCGGCACAGCTCCGGCCATTGCGGCCAATTGGGGAGTGAACCAGCGGATGGAGGACCTCTCTCTCTCTCTCTCTCTCTCTCTCTCTCTCTCTCTCTCTGTGTGTGTGTGTGTGTGTGTGTAACCCTGACTTTCAAATAAAAAAATAAATCTTTTAAAAAAAGAAAAAAGGTTTGAAGAATAACAGGAATTTTAAAAAAGAAGAAGAAGTAGAGCAGCCGGGAGAGGAACTGGTGCCCGTGTGGGATGCCAGTGTCTGAGGCAGTGGCTTTATCTGCTAAGCCATGTACCACATTTCTGAAAGATTGATTCATTTATCTGAAAGACAAAGAGAGAGGTATCAAGCTTCCCTGCCCTGGTTCACTCCTCAGATGTGCTCAACAGCCAGGACTGGTGAGGAAAAGCGAGGAGCCTAGAATTCCATCCAGGTCTCCCATGTGGGTGGCAGGGACACAAGCACTTGGGCCACCCTCTACTGCTTTCCAAGGAGCTCATAGGGAAGTCGGATCAGAAGTGGAGTAACTAGGACTGCAGCTGCTCTCTGAAATGGGATTGCGGTCATCCCAAACAACGGCTTCATCTGCTGCACCACAACACCCACCCTGGACTATTTTTGTTGTTGTTGTTGTTTGAGTCCATTTTAAAATTTTTTTAAATTTCTTTTCATTCTATTTGATGGACAGAAAGGCAGAGAGAGATCTCCCAACCATTGGTTCACTCCTCAAATGCCCACAACATCAGGGCCTTGGCCAGGGACAAAGCCAGGAGCTTAGAACTCAGTTGGGGTCTCTCTTGTGGGTAGCACAAGTACTCACTTGGCTGGGAGGCCACCCAAGTACTTAAGCCAACACCGCTGCCTTCCAGGCTGCAGATGAGTAGTAAGTTGGGTGAGAAACTGATGTTCCAGAACTTAAATCACACACTCCAAATATGGGGTACAGGCACCCCAACTGTGCCAAGTGGCCTCCCTCCCCCTCTCCCCCTCCGTCTCTCTCCCCCTCCCCCTCCCCTCCGTCACCCCTCCCTCCTCCTCTCCCCACGAATCTCTTACAAATGCCTGATGTGAAATCACTGGCTTCAAGCCTGCGGGTGACCTCACTCTACTGATGGTCTCCTTTGCCATACAGAAGCTGCCGAGTCTCATAATCCCGTTTATCTACTTTTGCTGTCATTGCTTGTGTTTTTGGGGTCTTTTTAAGCAGATTTATTTGTTTACTTGAAAGGAAAAGTTCTGGTTGCCCCTCTTCCAGGCCAGCTCTCTGCTGTGGCCCGGGAGTACAGTGGAGGATGGCCCAAGTGCTTGGGCCCTGCACCCCATGGGAGACCAGGAGAAGCACCTGGCTCCTGGCTTTGGATTGGCGTGGTGCGCCGGCTGTGGCGGCCATTGGAGGGTGAACCAACGGCAAAAGGAAGACCTTTCTCTCTGTCTCTCTCTCTCACTGTCCACTCTGCCTGTCAAAAATAAAAATTAAAAAATTTAAAAAAAAAAAGAAAGGAAAAGTTACAGAGAGAGAAATAGACACAGCAAGAGATCTTCCAACCTCTGGGTCACAGCCCACATGGCTGCAACAGCCCGGGCTGGGCCAAGCTGGAGCCAGGGGCTTGGAACTCCATTTGGGCCTCCCATGTGGGTGACAGGGACCCAAACACTCGAGCCATCTTCTGCTGCCTTCCCCGGCCATCAGCAGGGAGCTGCGTTGGAAGTGCAGCAAACCAGCGCCCAGCCACTGCAGTGGTGGCTTAGTCTACTCTCCCACAGTGCTGGCCCCTCTCGGGGTCTTCCTTATCCAGAAGTCATTTCCTCTTCTGACGTCTTGGAGTATTTCCCCTGTGTTTTCTTCTACTAGCTTTATAATGTGGGGCCTCACACTCAGGTTCTGGTCCACGTTGAGTTAATTTTTGTAAATGGTGAGACGCGGGAGGAGGGTTGAGTTTCGTTTCTCCTGCACATGAACGTCCAGTTTCTCCAGCACCATTCATGAGAGTTTCTTTCTCTGGAACAGAAATGAGCGTGTCGGGGGCATGTAGCACAGTGAAGAGCACGGGGGACTCCAGCCCACCGGCCCGGAGCGTGTCCCTCCGCAGGCTGCCAGAGCCGGGGGTATGAGTCCCATGTCACTGTCATGGGCAGGACCTCAGTGCCATGTCTGCCAGCCTCCCAGGGCAGCTTCAGGAATCGGAGCTCACCGTCAAGTGCTGGGCGAGGTCAGCAGGCCCCTCCTGAGCTGAAGGTTCCCACCAGGCAGCGCTCAGAGTGGACGGTGTCCACAAAGTTGTCCCTCAGCTCTCAGGGGGTCTCTGAGTGAGGAAACCAGGGCCGACTCTGCTAATTACAGGAGTGCAGACCGCATCCTCCCCGCCATGTCCAGCTTTCTCTGCTAGGACCGCCTCATTTTAAGTGTGAGAAACTATGTTTTGAAATCTGTTTATTTGAACACAGTGGATTTTTTGACCTTGAAACTCTACCCTTCCTCCCCGCCTGGGTCTCCATGGGTTGGGTAGGAGGCCCACTTGGACGCTGGGCCTTATCTACCCCACCATCTGGGCCAAGGGCTGGGTGGGGCTCAAGATGCTTTTGGCCCCCGCCTAGCCACCTCCACCCTCTGGGCTGCGGGGTTCCTGTCCCACAAGGGAAGAGCCACTCACCTCAATAACAAGAATCATCTTAAAAAGTTCATGCTGCCACGTCTCCAGCTCCTGTGGCAGCAGATCCTGACCTCAGGTGGAAGTGAGACCAGCTCCCACCACCAAGCCTAAAATTGGCAAAACTGAGTCCCCAGGGTGCACATCCCAGGAGGTGAATGAGTGAACAGGTGCCCCACGGGGCTAAGCCCTGCTACCCAGGCTCAGCATGGACTTGGAGCTTGGAATTCCATCCAGAGACCAGCAGCCCCAGAACCGGACCAGCTG